GTAGCGGGTACAGCGCGAAAATTCTAAGTCCCACCGCATTGCAAGGTCCCGAGGGGTGTCAGATTCATGGTGAATACAAGCAGTATACTGTACATAATCATTCTTACTAGATACAGAGGCTCTAAATATGAGAAATAATGCTATTTGACGAGGAGCACATGGGTCCTCAACGCGTCAGACGCGTTCTAATTATTCGCCATGCATCCTGGGGTCCCGAAATGAATATCCCGACAAGGGCGCCAAAGCTCTCGGGGTTTGATGGGGAGAAGCGCTCGGGAACGCCGCGCGAAGCGGCGGCGGCTTGATGTGATTGTACGGAGGGCGTGACGTGCCCGTAAATCCACGCATCACGTGAGGACCCCTGAAAATACCGATAGATGCCGGTGCAGGACTTGATTTTGTCATGTCCGGACTTTTTTTGGCGGCCCCCCGCCTTTATGTCCGGATAAAATACCGGCATCGGCCAAGGTCGGATCCATGTCCGGACTATTGCCCCGGCCTCTAGGAAACAGCAAAAAGCACCCGTTGTAGTCCACAAGTCATTCTAGACACTAGATACAAGGGTGTATGTATGAAAATCTGAAATGTGCATAGTCTGAGGTAGAAAATTCAATAGACAACGGAAGAGCCTTCGGGCTCGAGATCTACAGCATGCAAAGGAAAGACGTGGCAGGCAAATGAGTGATTCGGCAGGCATTGAGCATTGCCAGGGTCTGAGAGACAGCGCGAAATACCCGCCCGTTCATGGCTTCGTAGCCCTGAACGGCGAGATACGATACCGCCGCGATATTGGAGGCATCCGGCACCCAGCTGTGCCTTCCATGTGTGCCTCCGGATTTCAGCGTGATACTACAAACTGTATAATTCCGTGCAAATAAGGGGTACCGAGGGTTCACGACTACAGGGGAGGCATGTCTATCCAGAAATACCATACCGGGTAATGATAATGTATAGTCGCAACGAAGTGGCGGGCTGCTGACCATGTCCGGACTACAACCGGCCTCACTGCTGGGGTGCCGTTGGTGTCCGGACTAAAAAACCGGGTTGGCCGGCTGAGACCCTTACTTACGTCCGGACTGGCTCCGGCGTCCCTCGCCCGAGGCGCTTTTTTTGTCCGGACTGGCTCCGGCATCTATCGGTATTTTCAGGGGTCCTATCACGTGGCCGTAAATCCGGTAAATCGGCGTAAATCCACCGAAATAAACGCTTATGCTGCTTATGCCGCGCTTTCGAGCACTTATGCGGTAAAATGAGTGCTTTTCCGCTTGCAGGATGCCTCCCCGGCTCTTGGGGGCTAAACTGACGACATAGAACGATTTTTTGAGTACATTATCCGTAGTAACACGCATTTTGGTAATATACATCAACTTCTATCTACTGCAGGAGAGCAAAAACACCCCCGGGGAGGTGCAGCCGCCGGGGAACGAGCGGGACAGGCGACGCGTCGACGCGTCGCGCGAGGCGTGGGAATACCCGGGAACCGCCGAGTCTCACCTGCCTAATAAGGCATGAAAAGCGTAAAGCCAGCGGAATAAGGCCAACTATGCCACTCCGGTCTTTACTATACTTTCAATCGGAGCAAACCGGATTCGAAGAGATGAAACGACCTCAGAGCTGTACTTATCACGGTGCACCACGAAAGGCTGCAGTTTACTGTAGCAAATAGGTACTGCCAACCTGTACAGTTTCGTAAGCAGTTTAAGAATATCAGCATTCCGGATTGGTATACTCTGCCCAGAAATACCCATATACACAGTAACTCAGAAAGGCGGCTCGATACGGACGATCGCAATGCGGCGTAGATGTATTCAGCCGACGTGGGCAAATGCCTCGCGCTGCACCATTATTTCAACACTCCTGTGCCGACTGCTCTGCCAAAGGAGGGAGTGATCAGTATACCATGGACCTTTATCACTGAGAGTACATATCTACTTACTGGAAATGGTCCCTTGCTCTCTTCCTGCTTCAGGGCCTGCCACATTATCCAGACATCTCAGACTCAGATACCCAGCACGTGTAAGACTCACGCTATCCATAGTCCCCTTGCAAAAATGATCCAGCTCAATGGCATCATGCGCGCTTGGTCGTGGTGCCACACATATCGGACCGCTATCAAGGCGCCTGTCCTTCAGGGACTGGCGAGCGTTCAGACTGGTTCAGTTTCCGCGATATCAGTTCCGTGGGACAAGGTCATTCGGAGGAATACGTGCACCGCCAAGAACGAGTTCACATATACTGTGGCAAAGCACGGTGACTTGCTGGATGCTTACAAACGCGAGAGGGACGTACGCTTATTGAGCAGGAAATTTATACCCCACGGGATGTCCGTGTACGGCAGAGCAGCGTACTGGAGGAGGTAAGGACATCTGTAAACCGATTTGGACGCAAATACTGACCGTCCCAAGGCATGTAAGGGAGCACATGCTGTACTTTTGGTCAACCTCGTGTTTGACGGGCAAACGGCTGATCCTCACCTCGTCATTGCACCAGAGCCTACTAGATATAGCATTATACTATGGACGATAGAATTTGACCTATTTCGTCTGGTGAGTTCCACAGCCAAAGGAGGAAGGAGGCAGGCAACATGTCGGCATACTGACTTCCGGCAGCCCGTCTTATGGGTCCACAATATCCAGCAGAAAACACCAGCAATAGCAGCATCGACCACGGTGGACGTCCCAAAGCTCATGTAAACAAGCCACTATGAACGATTTTGTATCAGCCTGAGTTCAGGTGTTACTTGAGCTCTGTTTCATTACCGACATCGCCTTGACTTGCAATAACGTATGAACCTTGGCGTATCTGGAATAGGCCTGAGTGAGGACATCCACAACATGGTTCTGGAGGCGGCTTACAGGAAGTAGATAGTTGCTGTACATGCAAGAGAAGGTTAACGGAAACAGCTGCACAACATTATGGATGACAGACCTATACCAACACCATACCCCACAGCGACAAGCACAGTCTCAGGAACAACCGGTAAGGGTGGCTAGGGGACTCTGTCGGATTTGCACTTACTACCATGGACAGTAGAAACCTGCGATCGTGAAAGCCGTTGACTGCGTGCGTCAGCGTATTATGCTCGGAGATATGGCGGTAACATACACTTCCAAAGACGAAACACGTATAGCCTATTGAGACAGGTGGTTAGCACGTAGTCCTCGGCACAACAAGATGCTTATCCTCACGACTGAACTGCGAGAATAGTGATGATCTGTCCGTAGTCAGACTTATGACAGCATTCACGGCAACTTTGATAGACGAAACTTACATTCATAACAATTTGAAGCTGAGGGATTCGATCAACTAAGTGCAACCTGGAAACGATAACTGGTCTTACCTTGAAAGACCACACGATATTGAACGCTTCGGCAAGCGAACCGAAGTTTGTGACAAAGTAGAAGTACACGGAGTGTCCCGCCAGACAAAGGTGCAGAGCATCGAGGGTCCTACGACTCAGTCAGCAAGGAAGCAACCTATATGGAGTTGAGTGAGTATCCACCAGAGCCCTGCCGCCTACACTTGCAAAGGTCATAACTCCTCTGTCTATATCGTTGGAGAAATAAGAAACTGACCGCAACCTTGTAGACTATCCAGTCCTCTTGGTACGCCTTGAAGTACAGGAAGATCTGCAAGTTGGTAACGCCGAACAGCCTGCCAGAGGTAGGAGGTCAGGCTGACCCGAGAGATTAGGCGGAGCACAGGCTGGCTTGTGACATACACCGCGGCAACGAGGATCCCAACGAGCAATGCGCCGTAGGTCTCGTTTAACAAATCCGCTAGAAACATATTTCTTCAGGGCTACGCGGAGTCGCCGCAGACGGATATGTCGGAGCGGGTGGGCAAGTGGAAGTGTGGCTTCAAGGGGCTTCAAATATCATCTGCTTACCTCGGCTGGCATGTGGCATGAATATGCATCATTATGATCAAGATGATCCACTGCGAGTTGTTTTGATAGTATCGGAGGGAAAGACGCGTTATCCTGCCGATAGGAGGGTTCGTTGGCGATTTCCTTTCCTGCATTGGGTGGTCCATTAGTCCGCATGACTTTACGCCAGCTCTGCAGATTGCCTGTAGTTGGTCCTAGATGTCTCCTAGGAGACCGAGTATACGAGGACTCTTTCTGGCAACCGTCAGTATCTCGCTATAGCCACAGCGACACACCGACGTCGAGTTATCTATAAATTCATCATGTCACCGTTATCAGAGTGCAGCGTGCTCACCTAGTTTAGTTCGCACACAGGTGTGAGGCGATGACGAGAGAACGCATAGCAATAAGTGAGAGTAGAGCCCCGATCCGTCACGAAAGAAGGGAAGACCAATGTACACGTGAACATGTTTAACTCGTCTGTGGACGGGTGAGCAAAGTAGACAGTACTTAAGTCGACCAGCGCTTCTCTAGACTCTTCACAGGCGCTAGGCATTCGGAGCGCTGTTTTGTATAGGCAAGGTGTCCCCAGCTGGACGCCTGCTCCGGTCGTTTGTTGTCGTCCTGTGGGGGGCAGATGGGTAGGTTCAGTACAATTTTTATAGCAGCTCAAATACCTCCTGAGGTTGTGAAACGTTAGAGAGCATGAATTAGCATTATCAAGCTAACACAACACCAATAGAGTAGCAAGCGCCTGTCGAACGAGGGAAACATGCTGTCGCACTGCCGTCCGTCGAATCCCATCCAAGGACACATGTCAGACAAGATAATTCCATTGTAGACAATCCCGCGCAATGCCGTCATAGAGTTCCGTCAAAGCATCGCAGGTGTTCCATACGGTGCTCTCAGACCAGGGAAACCGAAGCAAGACGAACAACACGACAAGAACAGGCCAATCGGATGTCAAGCCGAGCGCAATTGTTCTGTTCCCACGCCACAACGCGACCTATATATACGTCTCGCGCGCAAATTTGTTTCTTCGATTCTTCCACAATCAAAAACGCCCATGACGATAACCCCGGTGCAGCGCGATGAGCACGACCCTTCCTTGCGTTGTGGTCGGCGGTGACATCGCCCGCCCGGCACCCAACCTTGTTACGTTCAAAGGGGCGGGCTGGATTTTCTGAGGCGTCTTTTTGGTTGCTGGCTGTGTCTGGTTGACAGGCGATTTATGGAAGGAGGACTCTGGGAGAAGGCCGAGGCGAGGAGGGGGAATGATTCATAGAAATGGATGGCACATGGGTACGTGGGCATTGATATACGTTGATACCATGTTGCGAGTATTCTGTCATACAATTGATATCCTCCTGAATTGCTCTCAAGTACTCGTGTTCGCTCCGTATAACAATACAGTCAATCGTCAACAATAAGTACGTGCAATGTGAATCGTACAGTAATCACGAGCTTCCGCTACTACCTGAGCTCACCAGTTTAGCCTGTGCGTTGGGCACTGGTACCCATCCGGATTCTTGAACAGGTATAGCTGGTGATACTCCTCGGCGTCATACCACTGCCCAGCGGGTACAATTTGCGTGACGATCTTCTTGCCAATGGGGTCGAAGTGCTTCTTCTGCACCTCCTCCGTCACGCGCTCGGCAATAGATTTCTGCTCCGGCGAGTGGTAGAATATGGCTGACCGGTACTCTACAGAAACATAGTAGAATGTCAGGAAGAAACATAAAGAGAAGAACAACACGTACGAGTACCGCGATCCGCGCCCTGTCGGTTCTCCGTTGTCGGGTCATGCGTGCGGTAGAAGAACTCTAGCCGGTCACTTCAGGCTCCTGCGCATACTTACCATGCCGCAGCGAACACTCACCAACTAGCTCATCATACGACACCTTGGTCGGGTCAAACTCGATCTTCAACGCCTCCGCATGGTCAGTCGTCCCCGTGCAAACCTGGCGGTAGCTCGGGTTTTTCGCGTCCTCCTTCCCGCCGGTGTAACCCACCGCAGTCCTAATGATTCCCTTGTCCTGCGAGGGTGGGTAGTGCTTCAGGAAGATGTGCTCGACGCCCCAGAAGCACCCGCCTGCAAAAGTTGCAGTGTCGGTTTGACCTGGAATAGCAGTCAAGCACGTAAGTTAACTAGTGTAACGCATACGACGAACCGGTGGATGACATATTGGAATATAACGCGCGGTTGAAGTTGGGCGAATTCGAAAGGAATGAAAGGCCGAACAGGGACGCTCTGATGCCGTTCAGGCGACTAAGCATAAAATGATATATGTATATGTCTTGTGGTCGAGGGGATGACAGAAACGAAGCTTGCGTCGCGCCATCGTAGAGTGGATTGCACGGATGACGGAATCCGGGGTAGGGGAGTGTGGCGTGAGATTCTCCAGTCCCCCTGGGCCTTGATTGTGAGGGGCTGGTGGACCTTCTGGTTGTTGGCTTCCGTTGCCCTCTCATACCGACGCCGGTCGGAGCGCTTCGGGTCTTTGACGTAACGCCTGAACGGAATGAACGGTATGTCCTACTGAGAATTCACGATAAGTCTTGGAATAAAACCAGGGCGAAGTCGTCTTTGCCACTCTTCATTGCGAAGGTTTATAGAGATTGACAGAGATCTGTCATGCACGGTGTCACATATTCAAACGCCTTGTATCTGAATCAGATTGTGATGAAACCTCTACCAGATATTTGCGAAACGATAGAGCCGGTTGAGACTTTTGCTCATGCGGTGCCTTCCCCCATGTACTCATCAAGGCTAACCAAAGCTAGTAATATACGGCGCCCCACCACCCACCACTCTCAGCCAGAGACGGGGCGCTCAAGGGTCTCGAAAGGGCAGTTGACCGCCTTCCGATCGCTCTCTTCGCCTTTTCCAATGATTTTGTGGTTTTTTGTGTTTGGAGTCGCCGTATGAGTACAATCGCTAACTGGCTCTATGTTTTGCTAACAGCTGACACAGCGAGACACATTCTCGTGTACGCGCATAACTGCCTAAGCCCTATTCTATGGGGCGTCATTCTTGAACGATTCACTAATCTTGATAGAGAAAGCCCATCTTCAAGCTTCAAGGACGATGCAGACCAGGTCAGAAGGCCCGTTCCGCAAGTACTTGCGAGTACTAGTCGCGCACATCGCCGGCACAAAGAGCTGTGTTCGATATTCTACAGATATAATGAATGCTGAGTTTGTGCCAGACGCTGGTTGAGACCGCAGTCTGTCCTGGGCCACTAGATCATCAATTGTGAGTTCCGCTGTGTTCAAAACGGTTAGAGATGCTGATGGGTCAGCGATCTGCAAACGAAGAGGGGAAGTCTGGCCTGCGAGCTCAAGGCAAGGTGCCTGTCGCCTCATCCCAGAGTCGTGGCTTCGTATCAGCGAGAATTCCGCGACGGGTGGGGGAATCTGCCCTTCCATTTCCCCGTAGATCCTGGTCCACGTCACTTCATGCAGAACACTTACGTTCCCATGTTTCGAAACCTGGCCGCGCTGCTATCCAATCTATCACGAGGGAGAACGGCGTATGGGTACCTTCCCATGAGATGCGCACATAATTTAGAGTAACCTGTGAGTAACTGCTTGGGAGGCTATTATGGCGGATTTTACCTTCTAACGGTGTCGGTAGATATGTTTCTCAGCTCTGCTTGTACGTGGAGATTGGTTCCCCTTGTCCTGGTCCTGATGCGAAGTGGTTGTCTAGAGTTACTCAGCTAACGTGCCCCTTGCGCTTCTCTGGGGCACAGACATGGAACACAAACACAGACTGTTGGCGTATGGCGATCGAGGGTGCCGTTTGGACCAGGTGATAAATCGTAAACACACGCTTGTGGATTAATCTCCCCTTCACTCTGGTTGTCTTTTTACGTCGGTCTCCCAAAGGTCCGCGACATTGCGTTTGGATAATGGAATATCTCAGCGCCACTCCGCTGCTCGGAGTGCTGCGAACTGGGAGTATCAGATCATGATCGCCAGAACATCTGCCACTGTTACTTCATTTTTCATCTCAAAATAGTACAAGCAAGTAAGTTTCTAGTCCTGGAGCTTATTTCGACGTCATATGCTCATGTCGCCGAGGTTCTTGTGATTCTTTAGTCGCCGGCATGCGAGGGTGGCATGGGGGTGGCATTCTACAAACGGGAACGGGGAGCATACACAGGCAAGCAAGACTCAGAGCGCGTTGGCCGTGTTAGTCCTACAGGAAAGCGTACCGAATTAAGCTGCAAAGAATCGTCGTCAGCGCTTCAACTACAGCTACTCGCGAGATGGATCATGGTACACGCGGCAGAATCACTCCCGGGCGATACTAATAGCTGGAAACGGAACGGGAAAGGCCGCGATATCTTCTTCTGCACAAGGGATTCTCTATTCTACCCGGGCTTCCGAGTCATTCCGGCTATTCGATATACGACGAACCCGAAGTACGGGCGAACGTGCGTGAGTATCCCCAGCGGACAACATCTAGCAGCGGATGGATCATCGAGTTGTGGACACGAACTGTTCTTGATTCTGCTGACGGCTGCGCCACCTACATCCATAGATCCCTCGCCTTGAGATGGCTCTGCACAGGGAGATTTATAACACATGGACCATATGAGACGGTAATATGGTCGACGGCCTCATTGGGACCGCGAGCTTCCGTAGTAAGTCTATTCTCCATATCGAGCGGGTAAGCATTATGACCGGGCCCCGAGCCGCATAGTTGCGCGCTATATATGTTTGCTCCGCTCAAGTCCACACGGGGCGGCATATGGTAGTTAATGAACTTCGTATAACAGTCCATGCAAAAAGAGCGGATATTTGTTCGGGACAGACTCACCGCCGAAGGTTCCGGTTGCGACTGCATCTTTGCATCAATCACCGACTTGTTCGTCCAATTCTTAGTTCAATTCTCTGCCACACCCCATTATGTTGACGCAGATACTGAATCACGTTCGAACATCTTGAGTATCGTCTCGGCCACATCATCGCCGCAGCCCTTCTCAGGACGATAAATGAAAGGATCGGGTATCGAGGAAGGGGTTCACAAGCCCGTTCCGTTTGCCTAGAAAAGCTTTGCTCCTTCAGGTGCTCTGTGGGCACCATCTCTCCAGCAATGTCAAGCAAGGCAATTACTGCAGCATATACCCAGTGAGCGAGACGCTCATTGCATCCCGAGAAGGACGTTGACTTCTTTCTCGCTCTTAGTTTTCTGCAGTTTCGGATTCAATACTCCAGCATTGGTGTGTCATACTTGCTGAATGGATGGGGATGTTTATTGACCGCACTTACCAGCCCTGCTATACTATGATTATGCTCTAACCTTTCCGAGGGGTAAGGTCGATGAGTCCTCTCTTCATCACTATATACTCAATCCCTTGAAGAGGTGAAATATATCTGGGGCTCGAGGCTGAGGATCTCGACAATCTGCTACATATTCTGCCGGTATGCCCTGGTGGCCAATATTCTCTACCTATTGGCTGTGGCTGGGAAACTCCACGCGAGGGTGAGCCTGACAATCGATTCACCTGCTTATGAAACACTGACTCTAATTTCCAGTGCACCATATAACACTTAACTCCCTTCCTTAACTTAACCATCCGCATATCCAGCTGTAATACGTGGTACAAATTCATTGGCGCAATCAGCGTCCTAGGCCGAGCGGCTGTAATCAGTAAGCACACGGCTTCTTCCACCTGACATATCTTCTGACGGTCCTGGTGCCTACGAAGCTGTATTCACGCTGCGTGCATGGGCTGTGTACTCTCGCAGCCGCATAGTACTGGCCTTTCTCGGGACGATCGGCGCCCTTTGTGTAGCTCTCGACATCGTCAGGACCTTCTACTCTCTCCTTTGATTCCATGCTAAATTGGGATGCGTAGACACACGTACCGGGACTACGATGTGTCGGTAGCTCCAGTGAGCGAATGTCGTAACGCTTATCCGGCGGCGTTGAATGCTGATGATATCTCTTCCCTACCCTAGGCATTCCTATAGGTTCGTGTTTACTTGTGCGTATTTGGAGACACATTCTCACATGACTCCGTTAGCCAACAATATGCTCTCTATACTCATGGTCATCTTCGAGTGGTGTTCCGCCATCCTTACAACTGTGCGGAGCGTACAGGCCATCAGAAGTAACGGTACGAGCTGGCAGGAGCAGAAGAAGGGCTTTTTCTATTTGATATTGGAGCAAGGTATGCATTCGAACAAAGTGCGGGCAGATTAGCGTTGAAGCTGATCGCGTGTTGTGCAGGTGTTCTTTATTTCTGGTACGTGTAGTGCCCTGCGTTTACATTGTAACGAAGAGGAAACTGATATCTGTCTGCAGCATTATATCGCTGTTCACTGTTACTGCCGTCATCCTCAATTTCGTGAGCCCGCTCTTATCTTTCATTTTACGGTTTGCCAATATTGACCGCTTATCCCCCAGCGTACGGTATGTAATCGACAACTGAGACGCCTGGAAGCCTAGGTTCATATCGTGTCCGTAGACCGGATTTTGGCAAAGGCTCCTGAATGCCTTCACTCTCCCGTGAGCACTTACTGATCACTCCCCAGACCTTCTCAATCCCAACCTCGCACCAGGCTCTCAGGACTCCTTACCGCCCGCTTCCTCCTGCACCTCCGCGAATGGGAGTCCTCCACATACGTGAGCGGAACCAAGTCCACCCCGGGCGGCGACGCGGAACGAAACCAGCTCTCGGAATTCGAAGTCGCGCGCAGAACCGCCAATTCTCTCGTCGACGACTTCGGCGAGGACCCGGTTATGAGGGAGAGGAATCGGGATACGCTGCCGGTGGAAATGCCAATGGAGGAGCGGAGCGCCGGGTCGCGCTCGGGCGGTTCCCAAGAGGAGGTGGTGCTCAATTTGTCGGTGAAGGAGGGGAAGAGACGCGCGATTGTGTGAGTACGTCGCGGGTGCCGCGCGGGGTGGGACTTGTCCATGCTCGACTGGCGAAGAGAGCATGGAGTCCAGGTTGTATTGTGGACAGGACGATCAGTTTGCTAATACCGAACCTCCTGAATTATTCCGTATCGTTGCTGTTGTATACATAGTATATTTATCGTCCCGATTTTCCGCTGCCCCCCTCAAGAGCTACTGGTACTCATACAGGTGTCGAATAGTTTCTCCGGCACCTGCGCCTGCAGCAGGTCCACAAACTCCTCAATCGGCACCCATGCCAGGCTTTTCACTGGCGTCCCCTCATGCACGACCCTTACGAAATCCTCTCCATCCGCTCGCCAAACCTGGATACATACATTAATATCACCACCACCACCACCAGGAAGGTATAAAGGAGACAGCATACCTCCATAACCATCTCGGAGCCTAAGGCCGGCCAGCGCAGCGGCGCACTCTTGCCCAGCCCAAGGCCTGACGCGAGCCGGATCATCGAGCCGTCGTGCCCGACATACAAACGGGCGCGGTACATCTCCACTCCGGACTGAAACGCTTTGAAGTTCGCGGCGAGCTCGGAGAACATCACGCCTTCATAAATACGTCAAGCAAAGATGATTCGGGAATAGGAGGAGGGGACGTTTACCGAACGTGAGCGCGGTGTAGGTCGACGCGTTTTGCGCCGCGTTCCATATGTAGCTATCGCAGGAATTATGAGCAGGAGGACATACTTATGGTAGTGGGGAGCGCACTTGTATTCAAAGTCTCCTATAGCGAACACGCCCGCCGCGTCCTCTTCTGATACACATGCGCCGGTGGTAGCATTACACGGAAGCGGGTGCCCCGCGCATGTCCTTGACGTGAACGTGTCGAAGTAATGATCATCTTCGCGTAGTTCACGGTCAGGCTACTGGACATTTCGACCCAGAGGGGAGGAGGAACGCACACCACGACGTCCACGCGCTCAGATTGGCGGTCCCGGTGATCTCGCCCAGGCGCGCTTGGAGCTCCGCGTGGGCGACGAGGTGGTCTGTCCACGCGGGGACGGACTGATATGCGTTGCGCATGTTGTCTGCGAGGGGGCAGTCGTAGTCGGGCACCAGGGAGTCGATCTGAGCTCTCAGTAAGCACGCATCGACCACCAGCGCACGAACTGCCCACTTACATTGGTCGGCTGCGTGTACACTGCGAATGGTTCGCCCGCGTACGCGGGGTCCATCCCGTACAGCAGCCCGCCAGCGACCTGGTACGTTCTGTCGGCCACCGACGTGCGGACGTACAAGTCTCTCGGATTCACGTCGGGCAGGAAGCCCAATGTATCGTGGTACACGCTCCAGAAATCCTTTAAGTTCCCTTTCGTCAGCATCCCTCTCCCATCACTTATTACCCTGGGGGAGACTCCCACCTGGCCGTGCTTGACAGCGTCCTCGAGCCCCTCCTGCGTGAGCTGCCCCTGGTCGCACGTCCCGTTCCATATCTGGCTGAGAAACGGGTGCTCCGGGGGCACCACGACCTGGTGGTACACCGCGGCCGTTCCACCGCCGTAATTGAACTGGACAAAGTTGCTGCAGTTCCACCCGCCCGCGGGATTCAGCCCATTCTCGTCTGGATAGAGGTTGTCCGGCGTGCGCTTGGAGTTGTTCCCATTATCAAATCAATGTCCGGTCTATTATCCAGGTCACAGTAGCTGTGTACGAGGCTCAGCTCACTTTGTGGTGGCGGAACATGACGTTCATGTACACCATCTCTGCGCCCTCGACATGGGGTTTGGTGTAGTGCGCCGCGTTGACATGGGGTGCGTTGCAGTAGTTGTACGTGTTCCATGCAAAGCTGGACGGCGTTGTGGACGAGTTGTACACGCCGTTTGGTGTCGATATCGGGCTTGTCACGTTCCGGCAAACGGACAAATACGCTAGACGCAGAAATAATAAAGCCAGTGCAAGCCGTAGGCTAAGAAGAGCCATAGTGGCCTCAGTGAACCTTATGAACGTCGACCAGGAAGGCGTAGAGGGAACTATTCGACTCGAGTAGCTTTATAACATCGATATTGGGGTTGCGGAAGTCATGAAAGCTACATGTTGGAGAAAGACGGGACCTGGCGGAAGGTGGCAAATAAGGATACCGTGGTTCGAGGCAGACGCACATGCGTGTGGCTGAGATGCTGTTGGCCGAGTGATAGTGCATCGGACCACGACGCCGTGTTCGCATTTAACACAGACGTTTACGTGAATCGAGGAAAAATAACCGACAATTCACCTTTCATCAACTGAACGGAGGAAGAGCACTCAGCGACAGCAATGAGCGTCCAAGTCGTGTTCAATCATCCTCAGACCGTCGCGCATCTCCCGGAGTATGCTGGCATTAGGCAGTGCACAAGGGTCCGTCAAGCGTCTAAAGAATAGGCTTAAAATACGATAGGACATAAACCATCTACTTCTGGCATCAGCGCGAACCGTCAGACTATTGGCCGGCATTTTCACGGGACGGCGCAAGAACTCACTTAAGCTGGGACCGGAGGTGTGATGCGGCGCTTCACTTTAACTTGGAGAAGAGCTTGGGCGCGACGCAGTTCTGAAGGCAAGAGATCAGTGGGGGACAGGGTGGGTATAGTGCTGGCAGACGCACATCTACGCAGTGCATCATGCTGACACGGAAAAAGTCAGATTCGAGAACTCATGGACATACTGATGCGGACTCACTGGACTGAGAAGCCATGCGAGGTAAGGGTAGATGAGGGTCATTGTTAGTAATCCTTCGTCACAAGCTATAGTCAGGCAGAGTATACGTACATCTGCAATAGAAACAAGCCAGTAAGTATGAACACAGTATACCCGCAAAAGCCAGAATGTTACGCACAGCTCCTCAACACAGTCCTCCCCCTTGAACCCCTGGCCAGAGCTGACCTTCTCCTGGCAATGTTGGAAGTGCTTCGTTAACGAAGCGCACTTGCTCGAGTTCTGGCACTCCTCTCTTAGCGCCTCGGCGGGCTACACCACCAAGCGTCAACCTCCATCTAACACAAAACACAATGTGAAGCGAACGCACGTCTACGGGCTCCTCCTCCTCTTCCTCCGCCTCCCCACCCTCCTCTCCCTCGCCCTCGTCTTTGCTCTCCTCCTCCTCCTGCTCCTTAGGCTGCTCCTCCTCCTTCTCCTCCGGAGCGTCTGCGTACGCCGTGGGGAACAGGGAGGAGAAGAACGACGCTACACTCGAGCTCATCGGTGCGCTTGCCAGTGGTTTCCGAGGTATTTGAGTCGGTGTTCGGGCGTTCGCGAGTTTACGGAGGCGGCGGTTTAGGCGGAGATTCGGGAGTTACCGGATTGCCCAACGTTGGACGGCCTCTCGTCGACGACGACGACGATACTATGATATCCTACTCGTCAGAGCCGTACCTGTCGGCGACGCTACTGCCACTAGGACGTTGCTTTGCTTCAACGGTCATAAGTCCCATCACACAGCCTATTGAGCTACGACAAGATCGCACAAGGTCGTGTCGCCTGAATTGCTTTGGATTAGAGTCTCCATTCTATTATTCAAGATATTCCAACGGTGTGCATTGCAACTAACATACAATAAAGTCCAGAGTTCCTTTCAACTCAGAAACCAGTCCCCCACAACCTTACTCTCTAGGACACCGCGACCACCCATACTCAACCATCCGAAAGACACCGTCAGAGGATACAAGCCCGCCCCTTTAATGGGTGGTGTAAAACGTGTGCCGGACGAGCGATGTCACCGCCGACCCGACCGAGGTCGAGCCGAGCTCATCGCGCTGCACGCTGTTCTCGTCATTGGTGTTTCGATGATGGGAGAATTGGGGAACGCATCTGCGCGCGAGGGGGATTTATAGGTATGGGGGGCGTGGGAAATAGCGTACCCATGGACGCTGAACTCGGCTCGAATTCGAAACCGTAGCTCTGTATTTGAACATCACTAACTGGTGTGCTGCAAGAGGTCGGGGGAAAGGTTTGATGTGTGGCAGGTTTATTTTGAGGTATATCTGTAACCTCCCCGAGGTCAGCCTTATACTGACGCCAGCGATTTGGACGAGACAGACCAAGGCAGCTTCGAATTCGAAGCTTCACTTTAACGCCTGCTGCCATACTGCCATGTTTGACTCTTGAGTCTTATCCGATAGGGCATCAATATTGTTATTAGATCCGCATGTATGGGTATCTATAGGTCAGTCAAACTCCATACTGGAGCGAGATTCCGGTACACGGGGGAATTTGTCTAGGGTCTCGGCTCAGGTTCGTCCATCACGGCCCAACCGTGGATGCCTCGCGTTACTGACACTGTAGACGCCGCAGTACTAGACGTGGAGCGTCCTACACGAGGTGGTGGGCCGTACATAAGAATGGCACGGTAGGATGGACGTCAACCACGCCCTCCTCTCCCGCTGGACCTCTCGGCGCAACTCTCCCAGATACTAGCATGCCTGGATACTCTATCGGTCAATTCCATCAAGATATCTTCCCGGATATTCGTCGACAAATCACCCTGCGCCGCTTCAAGGCAGACGACGCCGGAGAGGCGGCGGAATACATCCAGAGACTCGAGACTCCAGTGCTCGGAATCGCGCTTCACCTGTCTCCTACGGGTGTTATCGCCGCGCTCGCGTTTGCCAGCCCCAACGAAGTAGTGTGGGTGTCCACGCAGAAACTTGCCCCGGCCTCTGATGCAGGCATTGGCCTGGGCAGGCTCCTTCGTGGTACATTGACCTGCCTGGCGAGCTTCGACATGGCGCAAGTCGCATTGCAGATATACAAGGACCTGAAGATGCATGTCAGGGGTGTAGATCTGTCGACGTTGATTTCTATATCCACGGATAAGCCGCTGTCCCCCGAGACCTTTGCAACGAGGAGACTTGGCCCTTCCGTAAGATGCGACAGGATCGGAAGACTTTGGGATGGTAAAGAAGAGACCGACGTCTGTGGCCGAGCATTCGTCATGGCTAGGTTAGTCCACCCGGGACAGGGGTATGAGTCGTTTCAAACTAATGTTCCCATGCATCGAAGGCTGGCTGAGGTTTGTCGATCAGAAATGGATGCCGTTTCTAAAGTGGCAACCGTCAGACTATCTGACGGCGTAGGGATATCTTTACTTCGAGTGCATGACGTTTTCTGACATTCCTTAGGAATTGGATTGTCTGGCGAACATGGTCTCCGAGCGACAAAAGCTGCAGGAGCAGGAGCCTACGGTTAGGCAGAATGACTTCAACGATGTCATTGCCAACTCTGAAGGAGCTACTATCCACAATTCTCGATTCAAGTCACGAGCTCGCACCGGATCCAAGGTTTACCTGGACGTCATGTTTGCATTGCCCCGTTTTAACGCCTCTTCTGTCTCTCCAGATTACTCTTGAAATGAAAACGGATGACGGTTCTATCATACGGGCTAGACCTGTTGGGGTGGAAGGCAAGCAGACGCACATTCGCATGTCAGCTGGATATCGGGGCAACATCAAGGAGATCACAATTCACGGCAGGGAAGACCCTACATGCGCAGAGAAGGCGTTCTATGAGTTCATACTTCTGGCGTTGATGGGCCAAGTATCTCTGCATGAGTCGGATTTCATACACCAGCTCTGGTTCCCTGAGCGAGCTTTGCAGCCTCTGTCGTCCGATGAATCAATGCTGGTGCACGTCGTTGACGGTGCGCTCAACGAATCACAGTCGCAGGCCGCACATATTATGCTGTCTACCTCACGCCCTTTGGTTCTGGTGCATGGTGAGTGTCCCCGCAATACGTTCAGTGTACTCCAGTCGAGATGCTGCATATAGGACCGCCCGGTACTGGCAAGACTACAGTTATTTCTGCTGCTGCGAAAGCATGGGATGCACGGAAGGCGCCGGCATGGATCGCGGCCCAGTCCAATGTCGCTGTAAAGAACATCGCCAAGGCTTTGCTCAAGCGCGGGGTGAAGTTTAAGCTTATAGTGTCAAAAGAGTTCCACTTCGAATGGTAATGCTTTTTGTTTACCTATGAATGAACGTAGCTCTCAAAGAGGAGCCGCAGGCACGAACACCTTTATGAGGAGATGGACCGTGTCGTGATACGCTCAGATGACCTTGGTGTGGACGGCGTCAGGTTAATTGGCGAGAATACGATCATTCTATGCACCGTCAGCATGCTCTCCAACCCTGCGCTTCACGACGCAGGGATATACCAGCGAGTCCCACTATCTAGACTGGTCATTGATGAAGCCTCGCAAATTAGCATATCAGAGTACATTGTAAGCCCCTGGATCACCGGCCGATCAGTGAGATACTCATAATCTCTTTAGCATCTCTTCCATCGTTTTCGGCATGATCTGACTAAGGTGTGCTTTTTCGGAGACCCGTGTCAACGTAGGTGATTGCAGAGAGGTAATTGTGTGCCGGTCCGCTTACGCCCACAGCCAGTCCCTCCATACGGTCAAGATTCGGTTCCATCCATGAAATCCATCTATCACTTAGCCCACCTTCGTCCCTTGCAGTACCTGTTGGATACCCAGTGTAGGTTCCGTGATATGCCTTCTTCTGACACTATCTCAACGTGACGTAGATCGTATGCCAACGCCGTTGGGCGAGTTTATCTCGAAAGAAATGTACGACAGAAAACTCCGATCGGAACACCAGGTCCGCGAACACACGTGCGTTCGATTTATTGACGTCTGGAAGGGCGACGAGGAGAGACGGGGCACGAGCTGGGTGGTGCGTCTCGCGATCGATGTTAGTGATACACTGAGGTTACCGCCATGGTACAGAATACAGACGAAGCGCAAACCGGGGTCCACCTCGTTCGCGATTATTACAAACTGCAAGACTTCGCCGTTATCACTGCATACGATGCCCAGAGATCCATGATTGAAGAAATTTTAAAAAGAGAGGGCTTGCCCTGGGAGAAGGTCTATAACGTTGACAGCTTCCAAGGTAGACAACTCACATTGAATCTGGATTCTTTCGAACTCACGTTGCGGGTAAAAGGAAACGAAGCAGATTACATCCTTGTATCTGCTGTTCGCACTTCAGGCGCAGGGTTCCTACGGTCGCGCGAACGCATCAATGTGATGTTAACAAGATGCAAGAAAGGGATGGTTATCATTTCGAATCGAAACTTCCTTGAGGACGGACCAGGCAGAGCCACGATGATTGGGCGTCTCGCCAGCCACTGGAAGGGTAACCACGGTGAAAGTGCCACCTGGGTGGACTGGCGACATGTCGCTGAGAAGCGTGCGGATATGCCGGGGGTGCGTGGGACTGGCGAGCGAAGCTCGCCCTTCAGCGGATCTACGTTCAGCTGGTCCACGACGACGCCGCCCCCCGACTCAGGGAATTATGCAGTATTCTCATCGAAAACACCTATCACACCCACTACCCCAGCACCTTCGGAAATCTTCCGAATGAAGATTCCAGCCATTACTCCAGCAATCGACCTCTCAGCATCGTCGTTTGTGCAACGCGCTCAGGGAAAGTGGGCCTCGTTTCCAGGCACCCCTACTAACCCTTCGGCCTCGCCATTTGCGAGCCAAGCGCACGAGAAGTGGCGCTCCCGGGAGGAGTCGCAAGACAGCGTACCGAAAGGATCGACCTCAGACCAAAGCACGATCTATTCGGTGCGGAGAGCGCCTGAAACGCCTTCCCCCGGGGACTTTCCTGTCCTGGGTGCTTCCAAAGCGCCAAGCTCTGAACCGCTCGGCGCATGGCGTCGGACTCCGACCGTCGCGCCGACCAGTCAGGGCTGGCGAGCCCAATCGAAATCGCGCGCTAGGGTGCTGCGAATCGTTAGCTCCTCTACTCCCCCTACACCTCGCGCGACATGACCCGCCTTGCGATAAGCAATGGACGCTCGTGATTTCTTGATCTGTAATCCATGTATCTACTCGAGGTTGATCCTGAATGTCCTCACAATCTGAGTACCGTGATATCGCCCTGATTATTGCCTAGCGCGACCATCCCTAGTTCCTCGTCGTAATCCATCGAGACCCAGTACCTCGACTCATTTGTCAACAGCTTTCTGCTCACGAGCCCCTCCTCCGAGCGATAAAGCGGGCCCGGGAACACCGTCGCCATCAGCGACTCTTTCGCGGGCGCGGGCCCAGCCACCTGGGCTTCCTGGCTGTGCAAGTCAAGGCCGGTCAAACCGGCATGGCCCAACTCGCGCGGCTGGATCCAGAGTGCGGTGCCGAACTTGCCCAGGAATAGGTTGTTGCAGCGGAAGAATCCTTGCACGGTCGATAACCGGCATTTGCGGGCGGGAGGAAAGATATAGGGAGAGCGTGCGGGACTGGACGACGCGAGATCGGGGTTGTCACGGATGGAGTGGTATGTAGGGTCGGGGGCTAGCTCGAAGAGCGTCAGCGAACACGTATTCGGAGCCCATGGGTCGTCGCTGTCCTCCCGAAAGAGAAACGACAATGGCCGATGATTGTTGGAGATCGCATTCGCTTCCTCCGCTTCTGGGTGGACGACGGTGACTGCTACGGCGTCGGGCCATCCGAGAGAGCATGTTGCGAGAGGCTCGTACACGCGGATCTTGTCGTTTCTTTCCAAGACGGGTTCAGGGAAGAGATTCACGGAGCGCGCACGGACGACCAAGACGCTCTCATGCGCGAATACGACTTGCAGGCACCTGTTGTACTGTGGTCTTCGTTAACATCCGGCCAGCTGTACGACGGAGAAGACAGTATTTACTTGCCAAGTTCCTAGGGGAGTCTCCTCCCGATCTTGCAGGACGGCTTCGCTACCGGTTTTCCAGTTGAGTATCCTCGTTTCGGAAGCACGGTCGCTCATTGCCAGGATATCGCCCCCCAAGGTGATTGGCAAGTGAGAAGTCTCAATAGAGGTTATCAGTTTCAGGGATGGTAGTCCATTGTACACATTACGCCGCAGCTGTAGGATGTCTATCTGATGATCTGACCTGTGCTGCTACCAAGCATCATAAGCAAATCATCAACGAGCAGATTCGCCGAGGCAGTCACCTGAGATCTGGAAACTGAGACAGCAACAGTTGCTTCGGAATCAGGATCCTGGTTCACCACGAAGGTATGGAAGAACGCCCCCTTGCGTGTCCATTCCGCCATCTTGGCAGGCTTGGAGGACTCGTCATGGGGGACATGCCAGAACGCCAGGACAGACCAGATGCCTTGGGATATGGTAACGATCCACTCGCCGTCCAGACCAGGCAAGAAGCGTAAATTCATAATCGGGTTTCCCGAATTAGCTTCGAAAGTCAAGGATGTGCGCGGGGACATAGAACTCGAGGACGTCCATTTCACGCCCAACTCGTGAGCACGGCGGGCTCTCTGCTCGAGTTCTGAGGCGTCCATAGTTGTCGGCGACGTTTCAGGAAACGGATATCCTCGTTTTTTGATATTATAGCACGCTGTTGCCCACACTGTCCTGAGCGAAGAGATACCCAACATTCTTTTACATGTCTACTGAAGCCATAAACAAACGAAGAGCCGTCCCCTTCCTTCCTGCTTACCTGCCTCATACGAAGGATGTCAGGAACGGATAGGAACGAGAACAGGTAGACGAGAATATCGTCGTCAAGGATGTCCAGCGGACATCGTCCGGTCGCAGAGCGTCGGGACGTATCCATCTGCAGGAGTATTTGATGTTTTCCCGAGCTGAGTCGACCCGTTCCTGTCTCGATAGGTGCAAGGTGGCGATCGTCGTCTGCCTGTCGGGGTATGCAGGCCGCTGGACGGGTCCAGTAGAGACCGTGGGAGATCTAGACCGACGAAGTCTGTGAGAGGCTGAGAGCTTCATTGGTTCCCTTGATCAAGTTCAAGTAAGTAGGTCCGTATGTAAATCGTCGTTGCTACATGCGAGGAAAATGCATCAGGTGGGAATATAGCATATATACTCATCCGAGGACTGGGAGCAGGAGAGGTATTACCGCAACAGCTGCGCACTGGCAGGCTATGTCGATTAATGATCGAAGCCACGGGCAGCCCTTCGTCAGGCCACAACTTCAAGTGCCCGTATGTTCCTTATCGTCACCTGAGTATCCTTTTTCTGAAGACCTTTCCGAATTGCTCGTCGGTTTTGGTCTACTTCAGAGGGGTACAACCGGAATTGATCTTCAATGATCTTGGAGGGTTTAGCCTGAGTGCTGTCAGCCTCACTCGGCCAGTGAGCGAACAAGACACTCTTCCAAGTATCATTTCTTAGCTGTCACTGTACTAGTAATATGAAGGAGGTACGAACTAATCAGGTGAGATCCATTTGTCAACATGTTCTTTCCGCGAAATCTGATGCGTCTTCTGGTTCTCTTGATTAGCATCTCGAGGTTCCGAGACTTGCAGAGTCATCCGTCGACTGAGATTTCTCCATCCTAGAGCCGTTCTTCGAGTTGAATTATTATCGTCCGTCCTACTTCACCTGAGCCCGCTACCGACTAGGTGATCCTCAGTGCACTCGGATACCGGCTTCTACATCACAAATCAGCAATGCTGCTGGATGCTCCCGAGTGATAGTGATCGGGCAGAGTGCTTTAATATCCATCACCACCCCACTCTTTACCTACCTCTTCCGACCCTCCCTGAATTCGGGTACTAGATATGACTGGTGGTACGCTGCAGTCACTTCTGGAGCAAAGCCTGGGGGCCCTGTTCGTTGGCATTCTCGTAGCTGCGATGTAAGTCACTCCTTCATCATCTCATCTCCTATAACGACGAGGTGCTGACACTTTTTGTAGCTTGCTAGGGATAACCAACCTTCAAACATACGTCTACTTCAAGAGTTATCCCAACGATTGGCTGCACTACAAGCTCGCGGTACGCGTTCCTCCTGTTTTCCATTACGCACACTATAAGCTGAATTCATTAGGTTGTATTCCTTTGGTAACTGAAGCAATGCTGAAATGCCTCCGAGGCTCACTACGCTTGCTTCGCAGGTGTCTGGATACCCTCCATTTCGTCCTCGCAGCCCACGCTGTATACTGGTACTTGGTCATGCATTTTGACGAAATATCGCTGCACCTTCCCATTGTGTGGTCGTTCAAGGTAAGTTGCGCGATACTAGTGAGCATCTACAGGGCTAACTAATTCATCGAAGCTACAACTAGTGCTTAACGTGAGTTGGTAGTCGCTCTTGACGCTTGAGTGCCATTATGATCATTGAAGAACTGGTACCATCTGTAGCTACTCACCATTCTTATGGTCCAGTCGTACGTTATATGCAGCTTCTCAGGCGATAGGCTTGCTGATCCCGTGAGTGTCCGTCCCCGCTGTTAGGTTATATGCCTTCCGTCTGTGGAAAGGTGAGGCGGCGCTCTATGATGTGTTCCGGCTTTTATAATCTTGATACACCGGCAGTTAGTAGCTCACAGAAGAGGAGAACCGCGGCCTACCTCGTGGTACGTATCTACTGCACTGTTGGAGCCAGGCCTCACAGCCTACGCCTGCCTGTCCGATATTCAGATAGCACTCGTAGTCTGCAACTATGGTACGTCTTGTATCTCACATTCTCCGTCGGTCCTCATCGACCATAACACCAGGAATGACCACCGGTACGCTCTTAGATAAACGGTCCCTCATCCGTCACTTACGAGGTCATTCTGTGAACCAGCGACTTGCTATTTCATGTGAGTTGTGCACTGGGTTATTTCCGCCCATTTGTCTAATCCTCCATTAGATATCAAGTTCATGCCATCACGGATGTCCAACATTACTGCGTAAGTGTCTATTCCAATCTCAGAGAGTATGTGCGCCGTTACCGTGAGACCCCAAGTGGATGATATACTCCATCTACGGCACTGGGATTCTGGTTGACTTTGCAATCGTCGCCGCTTTCTGCTGGACTATTGCGCAGCACCGGAACGGGCACCCTAAGTGAGCTTGCAGCGTTAGGCTGGTTTGCATTTATTGACTCTATGCAGCTCCGACTCGATCATCAATCGGCTCATCGTATACGTTGTCGCTTCTGGAGTGTTGACGAGGCACGTCGTGAGGTGTCCCCTGCACCTAGGTTAGCTAATTCTTGCATCTCAGCATCTTCACAATCGTTTGTCTCGCAACTGTGAGTGTGACGCGTCCAAATATTTTGCGCATGTGAAGGATGATCCGTGTTACCTTCCTAGTTTGCGGCCAGTCCACAGAGCTATGTCTCCTTCGGTATTGCCTTCTCGTTGAACAAATGTAGGAACCCCGTTCATGACGGTTTATGTCAACGCTAAACTATATCATCAGTATACGTGAATTCGTTCATGGCTGTGTACGTAGACGGGGTTATGGGGTATATTTCGGTAGGCCGCAAGCTCACCGTCTCTTTCCAGCTTAAACTCCCGGGATACGATAAGACACCAACCACCGGATGGGGAAGCATACCCCACAGCTGCCTGTCATCGACACAGGGGTATTGAGTTCGCACGTTCACTCCACGCTACTCGTTTCATGCCCGACGGAGTGGACGGAGCCTCAAATGATACTTGCAACGATGTGAGCTATAAAATATGACTGAGAAACATAAGCTCACATCACAATCGATCATAGTCTGAAGAGAAGGAGGGTCAGATTGCATCTCCGACTGGATGTCACAACGTAGGCACATCATCACGTACGCTCGCAGTCATCTGACACGTTCCACAGCTCCGGCAGATGAAGAGCATCGAGATCATGATTGAGCGCGAAGCGTTCACTCACGTGGATTGACGTCCACCGTCCTGAGCATTTTGGTTCAGTTCCGAAGCCTTGTCCTATTCTCAACCTTGAAATGCGCAGATGATCGACCGCTTTAGCACGCGAAGGTACTAACTCGGGAAGGGCGTACAATTAACCAGCTTGTCGTACAACAAGTAAAAGAAGAGGAGTATCGCTGTGGAGTGTCCCAGGTTTCCGTGACAGCGTGTATCGCAGAAGCAGGCTCTTGTGAAGTTACGACGAAGAATGGTAGAACATCAATCGTATGCGGTAAAGGGCCTACACAACCATTCGCCTCTTGCCTTCCTTGACAGACATCACTTTGACGGCCATGTCTTCCTCAGAATCTCCAGGAAAATTGCGCTGAGTCGCCATGGGTATGTCGAGTGCCTCGATATCCCTATTTTGTTCGCGAATGACAGGATCCGCGCCAAAGTCGTCTACCAGGGAGTTGACCGTTCGCCGTGCAACTTCGAACTCAGAGAGCTCTTGATTTCTTTCTTCTCCCGCGTTCGACTTCGTACCGTCTGCGACAAATTCTGATCGCCGTTCCCATTCTCGCAAGTGTAGAAGGAAACGAGCGGTCAGTAGTCCGGAGAGCCTGCCAGGATGTGGAGTAAGCCAGAGGCCAACAAGTGAAGCGCAGAACTCGCTCACGGCAAAAGGAGCGCGTTCAGGAGCCGCTGGAAAAATCCCGTCTATGGACATAAATCTGAGCCTGATATTCGGACGGGAACGTGACAACCTTACTGCACGCTGTGGCGACGGTTATGAGTATATTGTCTCGAATGCGACAGGAGAAGAGGGTACTCACGAAGTTCAGGATGACGGCGGCCAGAGTTATGAGGGATACAATACTACGCGAATATCAGCGACTGAACATTACCAGTTCTTCTTAAGCCCTACCAAAAATATAGAACACCTGTGGCACAGCAAACACTCAGCCGAAGCCCGTATAGCCTTGGACCCGTCGGGCGCACCTTGCTCTAATACCAGGTAGAAGAAGCTTTTCTTCTGCTCATACCACGGTGCGCCGTTGCCTCTTATGGCCTGCGCGCTTCTGACTGTCGTAAGAATTGCCGAGGACGATTCAAAGACCACCATCAATATTGAAAGCAAATCATTCGCTGTCGAGCTCCCCGGTTCAGTGCTATGCTTTACTAGACGTATACGGAACATTGCAGACCTATGGGTATGCCTATTGAGATTAAAGAGAGAGAAACGACTCTCAGTACTTGGCATTGATATAACTGGGGATCCGATGCACTTACTTGCACTGCCCACGCATCGCAAACCAGGTACATGGGTCTGGATTCATAATCAGCATACAGCCGGGAACCAGGAAGTACGATGCCCACGATGTCGAGGGCAATACACACGGCTCCCAGCAAGCCGAGGTACGCAAGCACTAGACGGCTTCGGGAGAATACAGCTCATGCGCGGAGAGTGAATACAACTGGAACCGTGGAGTCAGCAACATATACGCGTTGCAAGGAGGGTCTCGACTGACTAATCACGGCCGCGCGACCAAGGACACTGACTGCTCCAATGAATTTATACCATGTGTTGCAGCTAAGAAGCTATGTGAGCGGTTTAAATAAGTTGACTCCTGGTCCGACTAACTACCTTCAAGTATTAGAGCAATTAATACATTAAGGACATGTCACGCCTCACCCTCGCATGGAGCTTGCCAGCCACAGCCAGCAGATATAAAATGTTCGCGACCAGAGCATATCGGCAGAACACGTAGAGCAGGGTGGATATGCGAAACTTGTGGCCCCATATATATTTCACCTCTTAAAATAAGGTGAATTGCTGAGATTAGGTAGACATAAATGAGCGTACCACGGGGAAATGTCAATGCGTAATCGTAGTACAGCAGGGCTAGTCGTGGCAATCAGCCAAGCAAGTTCTACACCCGTTGATTGGTAATAAATGAAGGGCACCGATGCTCGAATATTGGATGCGAAACTGCAAGAAGCTGATTACAAGCAGGAGATCAATGTCCGTGTCATGAGAGGAAGGAGAATCAACCCACTGGGTATAGGCAGTGGTAATGGCCTTGCTCGACATGCTACCGACCGCTGGATTAGCGCTATGGGTGCGCAAAGGGGTTGGGAAAGCTGTCAGGACTACTCGACGCCTTCATTTATAGCAAAACGGTAGCTTGTGGTGATGAAACCGGCTAAAGAAAGTTTCGGGGCCGCTTCCTCTCTTCGGCAGGGATGCCTAGGGTGCAGGAAGCTCCGAAGTTGAGATTTGGATGGTCAGGTAATGATTGATCCAAATGAAGATATCGGCCTCCCTTAGGTTGCCGATATCGCAATGAATATACGTTTATAGTCGATCTTCGGAAGGCCATTCGAGGCAAAGTAACTGCGACATGCGTGCTCCGGAATCGGTGAGGTGAACTGTATATGTCATATAACCTTGTGGCAGGAGCCATGTTCAGTAATTCGAAACCGGATTGAGTCACACACTTACCTTAACAACAGTGAGTCCAAGCAAGGGACCATTCTGCTGCTTTGCCAGTCTGTGCACCGGCAATGGCTCATACGGAGGTGTCCCCCACACACAAATGCAGCGGAACACCTATGAATAGCGTTCGCACGGATAAATCGACGATCAAACCTTCCTATGTATTGGCCAATGGCTATGGTACTTAAGCACGTTCCCCAGACCTTCGGGCGCGGGGTAAACTCGGCGACCAAGAATTGAAGGAGCACACTGCGATCTTCTCCACTCTGGATCCATTCAGCCACTCCATATCAGTAGCACCCGGAACAATCCTACGTCGAGATATTTAGGTTAGAGAATGCACTCGCGATGTACCTTCCAGCGGCTCTAGGCGGAGCGTGTTGGAATTTGTGATCCACATGGCGGTCTTCTGAAGGTTCAACGCAGTTGGTGTTGCCTGTGGTCTATCTTCCCGCAGGGTGTCAATTAGACCTTGGAAATGTTCAACTCCGTCAAGAACATCTCACCAGCACTGACGGTATCTTCGAAGCATATGACTTCAGCGGGACGCATTCATCGATCGATGATGCGAAGAGGACCACTTTGAGTTCTCCGCGACACTCCGAGCAGCGTGGCCGTACCCACATGATAAAGTGCTGGAGACTCCACTGTTCGGTATGTATAGGGCCGACAGTCGCGATTTTCAGAAGGAACATGAGCAGTTATTCCTTATTGGATCCCAAACTGCTGGAAAGAAGGGCTTAGCACGCCCCAGAGGCAGAATCCGCCATACACATACAGATTGGGCATGATCGGTGTATGTATCTGAAAATGGTGAACGGCGAACAGACCCGCGATTGTCCAACTGTCCCACAGTTGCAGTGCAGCTCGTGGCCATCAGCGATAGGGGCATCCCTGATGCCGCCACAGGAACTAATCGCAGAACGTCTTCACTAAGGCTTGGTTGCTTTATGGAGCTCGTGGACTGCAGGGCAGCAACAGGTTCGCTGCCACAAGAAGGGGGATTTACACGACGACTGCGTATATTCAGACAAAATGCATGGTGGTTGCCACTACAATAGCTGCTCGCGGGCGAGTTGATCTCCAAAGTATGATCCATGAGCTCAATCTTGATCCCCGCTGCATTGGGGATTAAGATACTACGAAGAAGTTGTGAGAAATATAATAGTGATAATCAGCTAACCATCTGCAAGACAGTGCTCACCGAGAACGTACTTGACGGAATAAAACGGATACAGGGCATCGGTGCCCCACAGATGTGATCATTGACACGGATGCGGATATTTGCGGTGATGTAAAATGGAACTCAGCCGCATCTGCTACAGGCTCGATCGGCTCTGCATCCTTTTTCAGCGCACATCATCCGATATTGCGTCTATTTGGTATTATCGATACCTATGGCGGAAATTTCAAGTGAGATATTCCGTCGTCAAGCGTGCCACGATGATATCCTGCCGCGAGTCGCGATTGCCAGATGGCGGGGTTGGTGGGTAATATCAATGAACCCAAGAATTAATCTCAATAACGGTGGAGGGTAAGTAGTTGGGGTTCACGAGCACCCAACATTGATGAATGGATACTTCTTACGGCGTAGTGTCACAGTGTAGGCATAGGTGCGGATAGTGTGGCTGTGCCACGGGACGCTGAGCGCGGTGTCTCCGATGAGTCCGATCTCCATTAACGTCCATTCTTGGATATGTTTTGCACAATGCAGGCGATAGTGCCCTGACTGTAGGGCGCGGTAAAATTTACAGAGATCTCTAAAGGTTAGCTTCAGTTGGACAATCGAACTACGAAAGATGCGGCCAACCGCGCACCGATTGCAGTTCGCACAGGTACGCCACCTCCGATTCCGTGTCGGACGAAAAGCCAGGAGACGGTCGTGTCCCTCCAAATCTCGCATATCGCTGAAGGGATTCAGTCATGCTTAGGGCGAGCCCTTCTAGATGCGACTATGCGTAATGTAGGCTTTCCTTGCCGTAGCGATTCGAAGTTGCTATGCTAGCGCCGCGCCGTTGGATTCTCCAACGTCCGATATGGAGCTCTGTCTACCGCCTTGCGTTCTGGATCCAAGTCAAACTACGGATCAAAATGCAATCCGACGAAACTCAGACTTGGCCTACACGTATTATGGTAAAGCGTCTGGCTTGTATGGGCAGGCGGGCTGGCGATAGGCTTGGCAGGCCACATTTTGCCTAGGTGCTGCTGATTCTATACATCCCGCTAACCTTGCTCCAAGCCTTATATCGTGTCTTTCTCCAGTGACGTTCCCCATTAATCTTATTCCCTCTCAAGCATGGCCAGGCTGACTACACACCAGGTGTGATTTCTTCTTTTGACTTGAATCCGGAAACACCATGTTGATGCGGGTTATTCGTCCATAGGATGAAATGTTATGGCTATGGGTAAGCTACAAAGCTCTCGCCCCTTCTTCGATATCTGAAGATACTTAGCTTACTGGTTTACTTTACGGTGGGAGACTGATGCTCTTCTGCAGGTCCTGGGTGGTAATATTCTGACAGGCGCGTTAGGATCATATGTGGCAGTATTCGCCATTTCCTTGTACATCCTGCTGGCCCGATTGGGAGCAAAGGACTCCATAAACGGCCGTCTTCTGGTCATCACAATATCGCTGTTCCTGTCCTCTACTGCAGCGATTATTTTGAACCTCCTGGTAATCTTCCTTATCGTCGATGTCCCAACCAATGGGACGGATGCGGAAATGTTAAAGGCGCTGCATCTTGCGAATATCCTGTTAGCCATTGAGACACCCTTCATTCTCTTAAATAGGTATGTTTCTTCCATTTTGTGACCGTTCGTCCAATAATCGTCATGGCCAGTCTCATCGGCGATGCCTTACTGGTATGTGCTATCGCGCACTCCTCTAGACATTTGAAGTGACACCTTACGATCAGATATGGCGCTGTTATGTGCTGTGGGACCGGAGGAATAGATTCGTCATATTTCCGTGCTTGTCCTATTTGGTCTGCGTCGGTAGGGGTTTTATTCCCTCTTGTCGGAAGCATCTGATGGTATGTATAGGAACCTCCTGCACGACGTTGTATTGCATATATGCCCTGACCGCCGCCGGGCAGACTGTACTTTCTGTAACCTTGCGAGATCAAAACGCACTTACAGTTGCAGTCAGCTGGATTGGATTGTCCTTCTTTGGAACGTCATTGGTCACTGTTCTCTCGACGACTATCCTAATTAGTACGTACACCAGCTGCACCTTGCCACCGCTTTCTGAACTGCACCGCGGTTAAGCTGTGCGGATTTTACGGACCAATGGAGAAGTGCAGGATCTCAACATCAAAGGCAGTCGGCATCGGCGATACCGCAGGATAGCCATGTTGTTGTGAGCTTTGCTGTCGACTTCATATCCTAAGCGCTTCAGAAAGCCTAATTAGATGTCGACAGTATAGAGTCCGGTTTGGCGTATGCACTGTGTGTCTTGCTTACCTTCGTATTGACATTCGTGCGGGAAGGCGTGGTGGGTGCGGCTATAGCCATGTTAGCCACTGACTAACCTCATTACTAGAACATTGGAATTGTTCCCTGCTTGGCCGCAGTGAGTCCTCATTATTCAGCTGTGGACGTCCCATTGACGAGGTAGTCACTAGGCCTTATTTCCGACGGCTCTCATTGCTCTCGTTGCCATGGGCAAGGCGGTACATCCGACTACTGTGTATGTGAGAGACCTAGATACCCAGCAGGGTATTTCGCTGCCCGTGCTTCAATTTGTCACCCCCATGCCTGAAGGCGACATCGAATCTTCGATGTTGGATGATGCTCCCTACCGGCTTTGCATTCCGAAGGAGACCGCTGAATGCAGAAGTGTACGAGGCCCGAAAAGACACTCGGTGTGAGTCCGGGTGGGACAAGGGGCCCGCCTAGCAGGCACCCCAACTAACTAAAGCTGAAAGTCATCCACCTTCCTTCATTACTGTACTGGTTTGCCGCATGTGCGCTGGGTGACTGGATTATTTATCAATGTAGAAATCTACTGGCATCATAATGGTGGATATAGGGCTAGTACCCGCGGCCCGCGACCGCGACACGTTGGCCCATGGACAGACCAAGCTAATTTAACGGGCAGGTTGGAGACGAGCGGGTTCCGTCTCGCTCTCCGACCTGCCCCTTACAGTTAAATAAAACACTAATATATACTGCCACTGTGCCAGTGCGCTTCGCTGAGTTAGCCATCAAAGTTGTAACGTCGTGCGCTGAATCTGGTACGGTCTGTGGGGTTCTATGTATTATACATTGCATGCAATATGCGAAGCCCTTTGATGCCCCTCCGGACATCTACAAGTCCTTACCTAGCCAATGAGCCCCGCGAGAGGCCGTCTGAAGCTACCCGAAAAGGGCATATTTGGCGCGGACAAACAACGCGCGCGGAAACGTGATGTTCAGTTTCTTATGCAAACAACTGTAGAATAAAATGAGTTTGCATATGCACATGCAATTCTCTACCCATGTCTCGTGCAGTGGACCAGTGATAAGTCACGATTGTGCCAGTTGTGTCCAGCACGCGTGTCATAGCCCTGTAGCCACCGGTGGTCCCGTAGTGCGCCGTAGATGTATGTAGACTGGTGCACTGGCAGCCAAGAACTACTTGAAATATGGTAGCCTGTATCTGGGCTACAGTGCTTTGAATAGTACTATAGAGCATTGCCCAGGCTATGGGAGCCTATGGACAACTACGGAGCTGAAACCGGGGCTACAGCCGAGAGACTTTTTTCCTGATATACTTTGGTAATGGATGACATTGATAATTACCAGCACCAGATGCATCTGTTGACTATCTCAGAACGATTCACGACACGGAAAGAAAGATTCGAACCATCAGACCCAGTTGAAATGCTTCCTGGACCAATCCTATGTGCGATCTCACTGCAACAGGGCCAGGCACCAGATAATGCTTTGGCTAATGGCCTATGGCTGGGAAATGTACCTAAAGAGCTGCAAGGTCTTGCATTGGCTGAAAAGTTCATGATTGCAAGGGTGTGGCACAATCACTGTCTAGTTAGGGTTGCTTCGGGTGGCTCCAAAATGAGAGCAAATGTTGTCATGTTTGCAAACCCCACGCCAAAGATCTATAATACATTGCCTTCCCCCAAGGAGCGAAATGGATGAGGCGCTAGCATTTATATACACTGGACCAGTGGCACCTACAGGAGAATATTTTAAGTGTACCCATTTGCTTGTTGGTCACAAAAGAGTGAGCAGTGCTCTAGAGTGGTTGAAGTTAAACCACATTTATTATGAGAATCTCAACATTTCCTATGATAATTTGAAAGGATATAAGGATAATATGCCCCCATGGTTGTTGGTTATCATCCTCAGCATGGTTCAAAGGAAGATCTTGCAAAAAGCCTACATCACAATGATGAAGAAGGTACTGAATCAGGTCCATGTCCCTTGACAGTCCATGGAATAACAGGGAGTCAGCTCACAACAAAGAGTATGAAGGCTCTATAAGCAATGGCCATGAAGCATTTGACATCTGGAGGAAAGGCATGCTCAAAACCCAAAATCGATTTACAACAATCCACAGCATGTCTCCTTGACTCTTCCCTTATGGACTTGGTGGGTTAAGTAACGGCAATGGATACAAAAGTATTCCTGAGATAACTCATAAGCACCAACTATTGATGTATTTTGATAAAAGATTTCAGCTGGACCAGTATTTCCTAATCATCCCTATCAATCAAGAACAAATAAAGTCTAGTACATCAGGTGGATTTCTCCTAGCTGAGCAGAACTCTTTTAATGATATTACACAAAGGCTTCTGTCCATAGATAAATCCACATTGTCTGATTTTGCTGCTAGATTATCCAAAGGTGAATGAGTCCAACCAGATACAGATGATGACAAAGCTTGTTTTCAACTGCTGAATGACTTGGATTTGATCGGCAGTCATGTTGATGGCTCTGCAACAAACAGAAAGTACATGCAGAATGAGATATGGTCTCTCATGGCCTACAAGGGGCTCCTTCTTGGTTTATAACATTTGCACCTGCAGATGTGCAACATCCTATATGCTTATACTATGCTAATACTGGGGAAACCTTTAAACCAGATATATTGCCCAAAGATGAGCAAGCAAACCTGATTGCAAACAATCCTGTTGCAAGTGCAAGGTTCTTTGACATGATGGTGAAGTTGTCCATCAAGCATGTACTTGGTGTGAATTCTGATCATGATGGCCTGTATGGAAAGACTGCAGCATACTATGGCACTGTTGAGCAGCAAGGAAGACTGACACTCCATCTGCATTTGCTACTCTAGATTGTGAATTCACTAAGCCCTCAAGAGATCCATGCTCAAATGATGAATCCTCAGTCAACATTCTGGAAGGAGATGGTGGACTATCTAGAAAGTGTACATCAAGGAGAATTCATAGATAAAACAATGACAGAAGTACAGAATGATGTTGCATATGCAGCTTCAGATCCAGACTACAAGGATCCCACCCAGACCCTGCCAGAAGCTCCCCCATATCCTTGTAATCACCAGCCAGATGTGAAATGCCATAATTGCACAAAGTGTGATACTTGGTGGCAATCATTTAAGAATAATGTCAATGATCTACTGTATAGATCCAATATACATAGCTGTGGAGATCACTGTACTGTGAAAGGTGAATGCAAAGCTAAGTTTCCAAGGCCCTACGTTCTCAGACAATGTTATCATTCGAATGCCAAACTGCGCTGTTGCCACATGCTGAATGTCATCCCCCTCCAGGCTGGAAGTGTACCACTACTACCAGCATCAAGCCAAAGAGACCTGTACATACAGGTCGGTCTTAGAAGGTTTGGTAGATGCAGACTTCAACAACTGGTTAGGGGTAGGAAACAAAGACTTGTACGACATGTCCTTCGACTGCACTGATTTGCACTGACACACAACAATCACCAAGGACCAAAAGAAATAAACCTAACACCAGTGGTATGGGTGGAGGCAGTCTGAGACAACTGAGGGGTATTTTAATAGTTCGAGGGGGAAGGAGGAGTAAGATGTTGTAGGGTAGTCCATAGGAAGACCTAGAAAAATAAAACAAATGCTAGTTGACGCTCCGGAGTATTTATCTCCGAAGAGTCGCAATCAAAGTTGCAAGCAATGACACCTGTTGTAGGATCGTGCTCGCGGGGGTAGAAATTGCTAGAGAGACTTGGTTAATTTTATTTCGCTATGTAGGATGCACCGGAGATAATTAAACCGATGGCGGAGATAAATCACTCGACGAGTCAGGCCTATTGGCAAAGCTAGGATTGGTTATAATTCGCTAAGTTGACACTTTCAAACTTCGAGGGTCGCTGAGATCGTAACGCTAATTCTCTGAGATGGTGAAGTACAAAATTTGTTTTTCTGTACGCTACTTTGTACAATTTATACTACAGGAATGGCTTTGCGACCATCCGGAGATAAATAACAAATAAACACCGCTACCCACAGGATTGCTCAGCACTTGCCTCTGTTATACCATACACCATACAACTCCCTTGCGCTCCCACTTGCTCGTCCCAACCCCTATAGGTCGCCTCGATGCTCCGCCACCTGCCCTAAGCGGTCCCATCACTCCGTGCGAAGCACCGGTCATGTGCTAATTACCTCCGGCTGCTTGCTGACTGATGCTGACCTCATGGTGACTCGTATGCGTCCGCACCTTCGGTATCTTGACGGAAACGAGGGGGAGTGAGTGCTGGAGGGTGGGCATGAGGACGACGCCCCTCGATAGAAGTGTCCGCGGGTCCCGGAGCTAATGCATCTAGATGTTGCATTGGTTAAGTCGCGCCGGAGCTCCTGTTTGCGGAGATAAATCGTGGAATGGGTCCGTGTGCGCCTCAAGGATGTTAGGAAGTCCGGAGCTAAAACAGAGCAAGTCTTTAGAGCCCATAGAAGCCTAGAGGCATGTGAGCGCTGTGTCGAATAAGCTCTGGAGGGCTTGTACGATGCACTGAGTCCGCGTTTTCGGGGGTCAGACGATCCCGAGGCTTATCAGCGTTTGCGGAGATAAATCGCAGAATGGGTCTGTGTACGTCTCGGGGATGCTAGGAAGTCCGGAGCGAAATAGAAAAATTCTTTTAGAGCCCATAGAAGCCTAGAGGCATGTGAGCGATGTGTCGAATAAGCTCCGGGTCCATGTTTTCGGGGGTCAGACGATCCTGAGGCTTATCAGCGCCAAGCACCATTTGTTAATGGGAGAAAGGATGAGGGCAAGTATTGGGAGAGGAACTATGTAGAATGCTCTAGAAGGACTGACAGTGTTCCATGATTGGCCAAGGATTGTTCTCACCTTATTGTTTATGCTTTTCGCATGCTATTGTTAAAGATTTTCCCACCCCTTGTTCTGGATTTCACCTGCACTTTTTGTTTTCTTCCATGCTCTTCTCACCTTATTGTTTACCACTTTCCCATGCCTATTGTTTTGGCTTAGTCACCCATGTTTCTAAAGCTCAGGGATTGGTTGATTCATGCCTGAAGTTGGATGACTCACACCATTTTCACACACTATTGTAACTCTGTTCTCGCACTATTGTCTCCTCCCAAGTATCTTCCCACCCTATCGTTTGTAATTTCAAATTCTGTAGGGTATACAAGGAGCTCAGTAGGGAGAGCAATCAAAAAGATTAATCTATCTGGGATCCCCCAAGTAAAGCTATTTGCCTGTCAAGTCAATCAGACCTTGTCCCTACTGTAGGATAAGAATTGTCTGGGCTCTGATTGTCTGAAGCACCTCAGTGTAGGGAAGGACTGCAGTACTGTCTGCTGTCTGCTTCAGTTAGCTTAAGTCTGTCTTGAAATATAAGACTGGGTTATTGGAAGTCTGCCATTAGACTCCTGTGACCTGTGTTTGCTCTCTACCTTTATTCTCAGCTAGACTCTAGTAGTCAGCTACATATTTGTTATCTATCAGGTTATCACCAAATATCAGGGTCTGTGTGGATCGGAAACTTATTCTACCTCTCGAACACAAGGGAACTGCTCGACCAACGATAAATCCAGCATTCTCTTGGGGATCTTGACAACCTTTCCGCTTAGTAAATTCTAGGTCAATTTATATTCGTTGCAAGTTCTGCTGACAACATGGAGAAAACAACAGTAGATGAGAAAGTTGGATATATCATCCTGAAAAAGCTGGAAACAAGGCTCAATACATTTACAACCACACTTACATATCTGTTGAGATCAAATCCTGATGTCACTAGTCTTCTTTCAGGGACAGCATTGAAGTCTGTTGCTGCATATGTTACTGATTACATTACAGAGACACCATTGAAGACTTACACTATCTTCCAGACTATCTGTGATGTATTTAATTGTCAAACAACCATGATTGGAGGTACTCTCAGGGATCAGGAAAAGGCCAGGAAATTACCCACTCAGATAGTGAACTCACTATCTGTAAGGATGGAGATGGGTGCTCCCATGGCTGCTGCTTATTTACTAGGAAATCCTGATCATTATACAAGTCATCGCTTCCGCACTGTGTATTGGAAATCTTATTCTAGTGAAGTACTCAAGGATTGGGACAGTACAGATCTAGATCAACTTGCAGAAAATGATAATCCTAATCCCAAGGATCAAGTGGTTGTGAAGAGATCTAGGGAGGGTTACACAGCATACACTCCCATTATGGATTATATTTACCGTCCAAAGCCATTCAAAGATGTATGCTTATATGACTGGATACATCTATCACGCAAGAAGCTGCTGCCCAATATTGCTTCTAACTCTGATGCATCCCAGACAGGTACTGCAGTTGAAGCTCAGGAAGACAGTAGGGCGAAAAGTTTGATCCACAAGACTTGACTTTCTTATCTGGGCATCCTCAGCATGGGACACATTATGTCACATTGGTAAAGGAGCCATTTGCTCTAGTCCCCAATTTTATTGGTGGATCTCTGCCTCGTCGTGATACTGGGAACAGGGAATTTTACTGTGTTACAGTGCTCACCCTATTTAAGCCACAGAGAACAGGGCTTGATCTCAAGTTGTCTCATGATTCCTGGGATGAGGCATTTACATTTTATTCCTTCAGCCCACGACAAAGGGACCTTCTATCATTTTTCAATATCAAGTATGAATGTTGATGACTATTCCCGCCATAGGAAACTAGGAATATCTGGCATGCCCACTTTACATAATCAAGACCTTTTATGGCATTTAGGAATTAACGACGATGAAGAAGATGATTTGGATTACAGTGAATTCAGTCAACATCCTGATGTATCTCAATATGATAAACTTGGGAGTCAGAGTTTAAAGCATCTGAAGCAAATGAATGAGATAGAAAGTATTCTCAAAGGATCTGGATGGTTGAGCAGTGCACCCATATCATGCCTTGATGTAGAATTGTCTGACCCTCCTATTGCATACAGAAATAAGCAGGAGTGGATGGATTTGGTTCATTCTAGACATGCTGAGATACTGGATCAGAGGGAAAAAGACCACAACATAGTTATGAGTACTCAGAAGGAAGCAGCAATGAAATCACCTAGGTGGAATGAAGTCAATATAGTTGACCAGTCGTATTTACTGAAAGAACACAAGGCAGCCCATAAAGACTCATTGAAATTACAATCATTGCACAGTTTTCGCTATCACCAGAACAAGAAAGAGCATTCAGAATTGTGGCCAATCATGCTTCTAGTCCACAGAGTGAACAATTAAATATGTATTTGGGTGGCATGGCAGGCATGGGCAGGCCACAAGTTATAAAAGCACTGATGGAATTCTTTAAAGTACGGAATGAATCTCACAGATTCATAGTTTTAGCTCCAACAGGCTCTGCTGCTGCAATAGTGGGGGGTTCAACCTATCATTCAGCACTTGGTGTTAGTGATAAGTATGCTCACATGAATAACAGTTCATCCAGTAAAGCTCAAATTCAGGCAAGGCTGCATGGTATTGAGTATATCTTTATTGATGAGTTATTCATGATTTCTTGTCATGATTTATACAAAATATTCTCCCAGCTATGTAAAGCTACTGGGAATCCTGATGATCCATTTGGAGGAATAAACATGATTTTATGTGGTGACTTTGCCCAACTACCCCCAGCAATGAACCATGCACCTTTGTACAGCTCCAGTGTAGGCACAAATGACCATCCCAGGATGACAGCAAAGTCACAGGAGACTGCCATAGGAAAGGCCCTGTGGCATCAGTTCACTGCTGTTGTGATATTGCGAGAAAACATGTGTCAGAGAACACAATCACCTGAGGATGCTAAGTTAAGGACAGCATTAGAGAATATGAGATATAAGGCCTGTATAGCACAGGACATCACATTTCTGTGAAGCAGGGCTGCAGGTACAGGTTTGAACAGACCAAAGCTGGCACATCCAAATTTCAGACATATCTCTGTCATTACAGCCTGGAACATGCATAGAGATAAAATAAAACAACTTGGTGCACAACAGTTTGCAAGTGATACAGGACACCTTGTTGACTTCTATTCCATAGACAAATGGAAGCTGCCATCAGCACATAACAATGGAAAGAAACAGAAGAAGTCTAAGAAAATGCATGCTTCAGAAGTGATCGACTCTGCTACCCAAAAAATTCTTTGGAATCTGCCACATAACTCTTGTCAACATGTACCTGGGAAATTATCAATATGCAAAGGAATGCCAGTACTAATTAAGAACAATGAAGCAACTGAATGTTGCATTACCAATGGTGCTGAGGCCAAAATTGTGTCATGGCATAGTCATCATGAAGATGGAGTTGCTATCCTTGATACCTTGTTTGTAGAGTTGGTTAATCCTCCACATGAAGTACAGCTTGAAGGGCTTCCCCTGAATGTTGTTCCCCTTACAAAGCATTCTATAGATGTCACATGCAAGATGCCTGATGACACTGAGACAATTATAAGACAGCAAGTCCTAATCTTACCAAACTTTGCCATGACTGATTATGCATCCCAAGGCAGAACTCGGCCTAATAATGTGGTCTATCTAAATAATTGCTCGAATCACCAGTCTTATTATACTTGTTTATCTAGGAGTGCATCAGCTGAAGGGACAATTATTGTGCAAGGGTTTGATCCTAGTAAGATGATGGAAGGAGCATTTGGTTACCTTAGGCAGGAATTCCGAGAACTTGAAATCTTGGACAATATCACTGAGCTGCAGTATAATGGCATGCTACCTGGTCATATAGAAGGGCATAGAACAAACACATTAGTCCGACCATATCAATTATGGAAGAAGAATGAGTGTCCCAAGAATGTTCATCCTGCAACAGCCTCATAGATTCTACTAAAGATGCTGACTGGCCGTTGAAGCACAACAAGCAGTCCTACACAGACCATGGAAAGGAAGACACAAATCCAAGTCCTGAGATAAAAATCCCACAAGATAAAGAGAGAGCACAAAATACTCCCAGTCACAGTGAGCAAAGCAATACCCTGGAGAGACAATCCATCAAAATGGACAAAGGAGCTACAGTGCAATGAGGTAATGCAACTTCTAGTATCAGGATTCAAAGATATAGAAGCAGGTTCAACATCTATGGAAGCCTGCAGAGACCACTTAAGAAACACAATGAACAGGATGGATCGTCACTGGTTCCCACTTACATGAGGAGAGGGTACTAGTGTTGCGGAGCTATGTAGTGAACTCCTGAAGGCATCTCACCTTGGTGAAATATCATCCAACTGTGAAATCTGTGGATCTAGAAGATATTTCCTGATAGAAACATTGGTCCTCAATTGTTACACCCAAGCAGAAACAAATGCATCTGAGGGCTCAGGCCTGAGTATCACACACTGGCTATCTTTATATCTTTCTTCCAATGGGGTATATCATGGTGTTTGATGTTGCAGATAGAACATCAATACTGTGACTGTTTTGAACAGTACTCCACGCCTGCTAGGCTTTGATATAGCCAACTTGAACATTGTGCTTTCAAAGTCCTTTACAATGAAAATAGACAAAAAGTGCAAGTTCACTCTCCATGATATTGTGTATTTTGGTGAATTCCACTTCACATGCAGGTTCATCAGTAAGAACAAAGATGTATATTTCAACAATGGTGCAGTTACTAGGTGTCAGTGCATTCTTGAAGGTAACCTTGACAATATGGACCTAAATAGTCTACTCACTTGTCAGGGGAAAACAGCATCTCTAGCATTATATATGCAGTCTTTATGAGGGTATGAGTGTATCTTCTAGTTTGTGCATAGCTTATCTGTCTGGAATACCTTCAATGAGCATCTCTGTAACCGCCAGTGGTTAAGTCTGGAGTTTGCACTTACCGTGTGAACCAATCTGAACTTTGATATATTTTCCCAGAGGCAAGGTTTATGGCCAGTATTGTAGTTTACACATTTGTATTATTTAATCTTTGATCGAAAACCCAATATTACAGATCTATACAAACCCTATATAACAGATCCATATTATTTGTGAAGATTTTCTGTACCATCTTTCCTTATAAGGGACTCAGGACTCATATCATGCCATGCCCTGGCCACACTAAGGTAGTGAGAGACTTTCAGGGACAAGAACAAAAATACTGAATGTGACAGCAGTGATTAGACATGAAACTTGGTGTGAAACTTCAAACTCTTGACGGTATTTGATCTATACACCGCAAACAAATATAAGCAAATACAGTTTTGATGGCTCAATTCCTAACAAGCAGAGACCTTGCAACATCTGCGTACAGGTGATGCAGGCGCCAACTTGGGAGGTATTCGGTGCTGTGCGGCACGCCAGGTCCGATTCCTAACATGTAAAAGTCTATGGTAAACCAATGGCAGGGACTCTACAAGCAAATGATATCAACTTCTAACTCTCAAGTTAGTGGTCTGCCGGTGTGGTCAGAGTCTTCGATCCATCAGATACTTGGTGCCAAGCTTTACAGTTACATATATCTGAGGAATAGATAATAAGTGCCTTCTTTGCCGCCCTAGGGTGGCATTCCGCCACCCTTGATCAGTGTTACTGTAGAGTCAGTGTACTGTATTACGAGTCCTGAGTTTACGAAGGATGAGTCCTTACCCGCAAAATTGGGTGCGTGCCGAACGTTGTACCCCGTGGGAATCGCGCTGCCGAGAATGTGTGCGACTTTTTGGTTGTAGTCTTGACTACCCTGTTTAATGTCCGCTTTAAAGTCCGCTTGTATTGGAGACTACAAAAAGACTACAAAATCGGATTTGTAGTCTCTGTTTTCAATAATACTGTGTTTTCGTCCTGGGTTTTCGGTGTATTTCTGTGGTTTCTTCTATGAAGAGGTTTTTTTGGGTCGTCCATCCACTGGAATATTTTGAGCATTTTATCGTACCTCTGTCTTTTACTGCATGCTCGTTGTCGTCTGTGGCATGTTCTTACCGTGGGAATTGACTTTTGTGGCGGTCTGCAGTCAGTGGCTGAGGTGCCGCGCCGGTTGGGATCTCTGGCTTCTCATTGGCTCCTTACTATGACATAGCTTGACTGCAGAAAGCGCATTTCTGTAGTTGAGTGATGTCATAGTTGCCCACTTGCTCATTAGTCTAGGACGTGCAGCAGTTGAAGCATGTCAACTTGGTGGGATGTGCTTCCTGTTAATCCAATCATTACTGGTACATACACATTGATCTTATGTTGGTTATAAGAGGTTCTTGAATGTTGTACTTGTGGTCCGAAATAATACACTGACTGCTGAATAGTTTGATGGATTGTTACTGTGGGAATTAGTCTCAACATTGATTGTTTTTCACACACATACTGTACCGATACGACCTTAGGCAATGTCCCGTGTCCCGAGAGGTCCGTCGCCGTTGCCTATTTTGAGATTTGTCCCGTGTCCCGGACACCTTGTTTCTTGGGGCCCCGGAGCTTGAATCCGCGCTAAATGGGGAAAAATGAACAAATTTATTCGCAGGTGCTTTGGAAACCCTCTTGAAGCTTCTTCTGAGTCTTCTCTCAGCGATTTGAGCCTGAGATCTATCTGAGGAGTGTATCAACATTGCATTACCCTCACCTTAGTACGCGCAACTGCAGGTTGCGTTGCATGTGTCCCTTGTCCCGACGGAGACGTTGCTTGACCTGCCACATTCCCACGGTGAATTACATAAGCCGTTGCATTGCCTAAGGTCGTATCGGTACAGTAGTCTGAGTCGACGTGTGGGTGGCAGAGACTATGATATGAGTCTCTTTGGTCACAGGCATCTTGGGCCTGTGTTTTTCAATCTCTGCTGCCTCTGGAACCCTGATTTCTTCTGCTCAGTGGTCTCTATATGTCCCCTTGAGAAACTGAAACTAGTACAGGTGTAATATATATTTTGTTTCTGCTCCCAGCTGCTTGGGATACTCTTTGACTATCCTTTCCAATGACTGTCCTTCAGCTTGGTTCAGGAAAAATGAGTGCGAGGGAGCTGCCAATCGAAGATTGGCAGTGGATGAGCACTCTGGTTCTGGTAGGATGTTACCTGGAGTCTGCAGGTATTATTGACTGTGACAGAGCCGCCAATCTTTGATTGGCAAGCAGAGGAGCACTTTGATCTATGTTACTTGTGTCTAGTAGTGCAGCTGCTACTATCCCCTGGGCTGGGTACAAATACAATTTTGTAGCCACCAATACAGACCAAATTTTAATCTGTCAGAGCATCAGGAACCTCGGAAATCTCCATATGCTCCATATGGAGTCACACGGAGCCCCGGAGCGACGGAGAGGTCCCCCCATCATCCCGAGACAGCCATCTCCGTCCGGCTCAGGACGGAGACAGCGTCTCCAGATGGAGACTCCTGGAGACACCACGTGGCTTCGGTGGGAGTTTGTATACCTGACACTCGATATCTATCCCTCACATAGGGACAGGATATGGGCTTATGTTTTTGCTATATGTGCTCGTCTTTGCATTCGAGCATAATTTAGCACAGATTACTGTATATTAGTGGGGGGCGTGTCTCTGGATGGAGACCTCATCTCCGTCTGGAGAACCTGTCTTCATCCCGCACATGGCGGAGCCGCGGAGATGCTGTCTCCATCTGGAGATATTCCGGTTTCCTGATGAGTGGCAGGGACTTTTAAGGTATAATGATGGCAGAGCCACAGGAGGACAAAGTATGAATGAAGGGGACATTGCACATACAGATCTAAGGGCTTTTGATATGTGCATAAGAAAGAGTACTGTATACATCAATTGGAACATTTATGCACCCAATGCTATCACTTATCAGACACAACTCAGGACTTGTGTCCTGCCATGCATAGCAATGGCCCTCTACTGACAGGTACAGCATGTTTTCAACACTGTTATAGCTTGTACCATAGGCAACAGGATGCTTGCCATTGGCGCAATTCCACAGGCAGCCGGGGAATGCCTGACAGTGCCACCCTACATATTTGGAATTAATTTCTATCACACAAACAGTAATCCCCGACATAAGGGGTAATAGTTCCTATTTGTTGGTGGCGGTGAGATTTGGATCGGGCCACCTACCATTTATGAATAGTGCTCCTATTACATTTCGAGTAATTTGGGACGTAAGTGGTATAACCCCTGTTAAGCACTCGCTTTCTCGATCACCAGAGAGCCCTATACAACTACTGAACAGTAAACCGATTCTAGAGGAATGGGAACTTGGCGACATTGCGACCAAGTTGCGACGATGGGATGACATGGGCGCAAGTGAAAGCGCATAAGCCGACACTTCGTAAAGATCGCAGGTGGCAGGTAACAAGTCACAAGTCCGATTGGGACACTCACAAGGCGATTCTGCCGTTTATTGGCTTACAAAGGTGAGCAATGTGATGCAAACCTATCTAAAGGTCCGTAAAGGGGGTCAAAACAGCAGGTTTTGACTGGGCTTCGTCGAGCTTGAAGTTCGACTCATTTATGAACTATAAAACATGTGGACAATGCCCCACTGAGTCTGCAGCTCGCACAAGTACGCCACACCTTTCCGACTCGGAGACGCCAGGTGAGCACTGGCAGCCTGAGCTACGATGCGCGCCTCCATTGCGCATGATTATGTTTCTTAAACTATCATTGGTTTTTCGGGTAGGCTTACGCGTACGGGGAGCAATCGCAAGCATAATGAATATGCGAATTTAAAACTTCAGGCATGGGCATAAGCTATCTTTGCGGTCAGTCTTCGTCGTTGGTTACGTCTCTTACACTCTGTTCGCGATCTTCGAGGTTCGAGATGGTGTTGTGTCTACCACATTAGGTTGTGAAAGATCCGAAGTAGAACAACGGTATCAAATGAACTCCGAGAACACGTAGACTTGGCTTATACGTATCTCGGTAACGTGTTAGTCTCTAAAGGATCTGCGACGGGTGATAGGCTTGGCAAACCAGCGTGTACCCCTCTGCTCGCCTCCTCGAGCCTTATATTTGTCTTTCTCCCGCACCCAGCAGGGACATCCCTTGTAACTCTCGTGAATCGGTCTCTGATCAACCATGGGCCGCCTGTGTCTGCACCAGGTACGTATTTCTCTTTCGATGCCAGTGTCTCCCTAAACGTCGTCGTTCCTTTCACAGGAGGAAGTTCTATGGTTGTGGGTGAGCCCTCTAGCTTTTGCCCCACTTTCCGCGTCTGAGCATTCACAGATTGCCAGTATAATATATGGTGAGAGAGTCTGACTCGCTTCTGCGAAACCCCTTTTGCGTCCGGACTTTGTCTTCCTTAGCGTATTGACAAGGGGGTCAGGAGCGTATGCGGCAGTATTCGCTTCCTGCGTGTATATCCTGTTGTCCAGACTGCAGGCCAAGAATTTGATGAACGGCCGCCTGCTGCTTGTCACGGTCCTGCTATTTGTAACCTCTACCGCGGCGATCACTCTGAACTTCCTGGTGGATCTCCTGATCATCGATGTGCCGACCAGTGGTACGAATGCGGAGGAGCTACATCTTCCCAATATAATCGTGTCTATTGAGACACCTTTGGTCCTCCTCAATAGGTATGTTCCTCGTACTCTGTAATTATCCTCCGACCAACCTCATCCGTCCAGTCTGATCGGGGACGCCTTACTGGTATGCTCTCAGCCTACGCTATGCTCTGAAAATATGGACCACTGTATTCTTGCTAGATATGGCGCTGTTTCGTGATGTGGGATAGAAGAATCAAGTTCGTGCTACTTCCTTGCTTGTCGTACTTTGTGTGCCTCGGTAGGTAGGGTATTCCATGTTTTAAATTTTGACTTATAGCAAGGACAGGGACATTCTGCACGACGGCCTATTGCATAATCGCATTGACTGCCTCTAGGCAGACCGTACTATCTGCAACCTGGAGGCGACACAACATCTTGTCTGCCAACTTTGGCTATTCTGGTTTAACCTTCTTCGGAGCCTCGTTGGTCACTGTTTTGGCCACGACTGTCCTTATCTGTACGTTCAGTGCCGGATAGTCTTCACGAGGCAGCCGAGGAGTTGATCCTAGTTTAGCTTGGCGAATCCTGCGGACTAACAAAGCATTGCGCGAGCATCTCAACGTCCCCAGAGGTCGACAAATTCGTAGAATAGGAGTACTGTTGTGAGTACGACTATGTAGTTTTTATTTCTCGCCGTCTAACGAGAGATTTATAGCATCGAGACCGGCCTGGCATATGCAATATGCATCTTACTTATCTTCGTGTTGACATTTTTGAGGGAGGGCGTGGTGCGTATGCGTTTAGTCCCTTAGGCACTGACTGACTTCGTCACTAGAACCTTGGGATAGTTCCCTGCTTGGCGGCGGTGAGTCTTGAGTACTTAGTCGTCGACATTTCATTCAACCGCCTTTGCTAGGCCTTGTTCCCCACGGCCCTTGTAGCTCTCGTGGCTTTGGGTAAAGTCGTACATCCTACCACCATGCACATAGAAGACCTGGATACCAGGCAAGGCATGTCGCTACCCATGCTAGCATTTGCCCCTACCACGTCTGAAGACGACAGTGCGTTCTTGTCCCGAGGCAATGCTCCTGCCTCGCTCGATGGGCCGAAGGAGCAACTCGGGATGAAGAGGCACTCAGTGTGACTCCTGTTCGGACCTCAAACTCTGCGTACGCTACGATGGCTATGGACCGTGCTTGGACCCGGATTCCGACTCGAACATAACTTATATTATCCTGTAATACCTAATGATGGGTCGTGATTCTCATATCATCGTTATGAACCTTTTCCGCGGAGACTCGGCGAACAAAGCAAATGTCTTACATCGAGAAATATAGCCCTGTTGACCACCTCTTATGAAAGCACTAGCCATCAGATTAAAGAGATCCATGGTAGAAATCCCAGTTCTATAGTCCTGCTGCCTCATCCGAAGACAGCCCCGTCCGAGCCTGGCTAAAATCCCAGAGGCGGATAGACGCATCAAGAGGAAACGGATGATATACCAACCGCTTTGTCACCTCACGCTCATCATCGCTCCCGTCGTCAGAAGAGGAGTCAGACGAGGATCCCTCCATGGCAACGTCGACATAGCGAGATTCCGCGTCGTGATGGAAGTGCCTTGATCCTGAAACCGATAGCAGTAGTGGCTGCGTAGGGTGGAACCCCACGGACCCGACAGCATCTGAGAATACTGAGAACTGGAATTGGAGGTACGTTGGACCGGTATAACGTACCATCATGCGCATGAAACCGTAGCGTCGGCTTGGCTTCTGGTGGACCAGTCGCACTCGATTCCGCGGAATCGTCGTTGACATCGAACACAGATACGTCTCCATTCTAGCGTGCGCTCGTAATGAATGCCAAAAGCAATACTCAACCAGCCGCGGTTACGGACTCACTTGATCTCCGCTAGACAACCACCGGCCGCTCAAGTCACTGTCGAACCGTAGCTTCTGATTGGTCATTTCGTCGCGTGCGCGTGTCGCACCCTTAGCATCTCCGTAGCGAAATACTTTCAGCGGTGTACTAATGTCTCCGCGGAGATCCCAACTGTAGATGCAGCAGTGCCGGCGGAAAGAGGCGTACAGTATATGGGGGCTCGTAGCGTTAAATTGCAGCTATTGGACCACAACGCATCCGACCGGCGTACCACCAGGAAGAATGAGATTTTTCGGAAGAAACTTTACACAGAGTTGAGTGTTTACAAACCTGAGTCACAGCGGCTCGCACGCCGCCGCCAGCGCTGTCAACGCCCGGGTATCCTATAGGAGTGCCATTGCTATCCTCCGTAAAGAGGGCGATGTTGGAGGTGTAGGAGCTAGACGGAGTGAGCGATCCCGCAGCGAAGTAGGTATCGGAGCCATAGCTGGGAGCAAATGCAAGAGAGGATATTATCCCTACCCCGCTGGTGAGGCTGGGTCTAACGCGGTGGGGCGACATGACAACACGAACCTTTCAATCCGTCTTTGGATTTTTTAGAAGGGGTGGTATGCAGGCGAGAGCCTTCTCCTGGGGAAACCACGTCGAAGACCTCAATAGCATCTTCGAACCCACAGTAGAGTCTAGAAGAATTCCGCCAATCAGCAGATAGCTTGTCCCGAAAGATATGTCACCTGCTTGTTTGCATAAAGATTGAAAGCAAGACTGTGTGGTGCAATCTGTCTCTCACGATGATCTACAACCTTGTACGATGCTCGGAGCTGTCGTATGATGGCCCATCAATATACGAGTTGTGTTTAAAAGCCACATTAATTTACCCTACCATCACTAGCGTCGATTAGTTTTACGGGACATTCTCGAACCGAGGCAACAAAACAATACGAAGCAGGGTTGCGTGGGGACGCAGAAGGATACCAGATATAGTCAAGAATCGGAGCAGCTTGTTCGATCAAGCCAGACCTCGGATTATTGTGGTTTTCTTGAGGTTCTCCAGAAGACACCACAGAAGTGACAGGGTCGGGATTGCTTCAAAATTTCCTTCCATTGAGTGTCGACGAATACAGACAACACCGCGGAACTTACAACTCAATGAACTGGAAGCTTCGGTTTTCGCACTGTGCCAATGCTACAGAGCCGTCTGGACACCTTACCACACGTTAGTAATCTGTAAGTTATGCTGTCCAGGGAACAGCTACCATTTGGCCATCCGGGGGAAATTACGGCCTAAATCGTCGTTATTCTTGAGACCTGTCGTGAACGATAGCGTGGGTGCTGTTGAGCAGTTATACACGGGATAAGTCCATGCTCGTTCATCTCCAGTACCGATGTTCATCGCGACTCTAAAATCGCGAACAACCTGTGTGGCAAAGAGGATCGAAGGATCAGAGGAACCGGCCCACAAGTTGAAACCGAACCAAATACGAGCAAATAACGCGTTCGTGGCACGCAGTACGTAATGAAGCCTCGTGCGCCACAGCTTCATTTAGCACTCCTCTCACCACTACAACCAACATCTTCGCTGCCACTGAAATGTCTGACGACGAGGATATACGACGGTAAGAGCTAACACACACAGATTTTCTTCAACTTACACACCCATATCCAAGTGCAATTGCTCTCAGTCTCGGGGAGCAGGAAAGACCTGTCAGCGTACCTGAAGACGATGAGGAGGCGCAGTTTCAGGAGGATCTTCAACGAGCTTTAGAAGCCTCAAGAGCCTCTATAGGGACTGCTGCAAAGCCTAATCCAGCAGCCCAGGCCGCGTCGGCGTCATCGTTTTTGTCCGAACGTGCACAGCTGGAGAAAGCTCGGCTCGAGCGTCAGAAACGGTTGCGCGGGGATACGGGATCCGCTGAGGGAGAGGGTAGTCCAAGTTCATCCAGTGCGCCCCCCGCAAAGAGGCAACACGTTTCCTCTTCTCAGTTGCGTGGAAATGCCGACACTCGTGCTTCATTTCCCCGCAGTGCGACCGGAATGGCATATACTGCTCCCAGCGGGAGTGAACCTTTGTTCTGGGACGGAGAGCTGAGACAAACTGCCAATAAGCATGTTGATCCCAAGAAGGACACGCAACCTACTTTCAGGCTCTCTGAGATTATTGGGAAAGTAGGTGATCGCTTAACTCAATCCGACAGGATGCTTCATATTGTGCCCACAGAAGTCGGAGTTATCGTTTGCGCTTGTATCCTCGTACGCGTTGATGCTGCCATGGTTATATGAGTTCTTCAATCCTTCAACGCCGGTTATCCTTGTCGCGCAACCGGATCACTCAGGCCATGAGAGCATCCGCAACGTCCTGCCGAACTGGGTTATGACTACACCATTCTTGAGGAACGGGAGAGGCTGCATGCATATCAAAGTTCGTCGATCTGCATGATTCGAAATCTCTTATGACCAACTTTCTCATCAGTTCATGCTCGTAAGCTTACCATTACTAGGGCTCTATCCGTCCATCCGACTGAAGTCCCCGGTAGCTCTTCTACAAGACTGGAAGACTACGAGTGGTAGTCACGACCGCCAACTTCGTAGATTTTGACTGGCGAGATATCGAGAATGTGCTTCCCTTCTGCTGATTGACGTCGTAGGTAACTAACAGATATCCAGACCGTATGGTTACAAGATATACCTCTCCGATCATCCCCTATTCCCCACGATCCCAAAGCAACTGACTTTCCGGCCGCTTTCGAACGAGTCCTGAAGGCTCTGAATGTCCGCGCCGCACTGGATAACATGCTCAAGACCGATGTAAGCCGTCCATTGCATCGTGAGCGGCGTCTGACCTCATCCGGGACGAACAGCATCCAAATCTCCCTGTCAAGTCCATACAGGACATCCGATGCCGATGGGACTTCTCTAAAGTCAAAGTGAAACTCGTTGCTTCGTTAGCAGGCAAACATGAAGGGTGGCCGAGCCTTATCCTGACGGGCCATACAGGCCTAATGAAAGCCTTGCGTGACCTCGGACTGCACGCGCCAAAGGATAAGGACGTTGTCCTGGAGTGTCAAGTGCGTGTCATCGTTTCGTGCGAGTCAGGCTGCTTTACTCATTTACGATTATTGCTAGGGCTCGAGTATCGGGACATATTCGACGCAGTGGATGAATGAGTTCCACTGTTCGGCTCGAGGAGACTCGGCCGAGGAGTGGCTTGACCAGCCCAAGAGCAGGCGAGCGAAACTGCCCTGGCCGCCTGTAAAGATACTGTTCCCTAGTTTGCAGACGGTTCGGCAGAGTGTATTGGGAGAGAACGTGATTGTGTCCATTATTTTGAGGACCATCGTAACTGACACTAGACGGAATTAGGGAGGAGGAACGATGTTCTGTAGGAGAAACCAGTGGGACGCCGCCAAGTTTCCTAGAGAGTTGTTTCACGACTCTCGGAGCAAGCGCGGGGGCGTGCTGATGCACACCAAGGTAACTTCCACTGAACGTCCCTTCAGACTCGGAAAGTTCATTCATGACAAATAGATGATTATCGCGACTTTCCGAGATAAAAGCCAGTCAACGCTGGCTAGTTCTTCCAGAGGAAAGCAGCGACCTCTAGACGTGGACTCTGGAAGCGAGACCGAAGACAGTGACATCGTCGAAGTGGACCCCTCAGATGCAAAGCGAGATTATGCCGGATGGGCCTACGTGGGCTCTCATAACTTCACACCTTCAGCTTGGGGCACTCTATCAGGTTCCGCGTTCACTCCTATACTGAACGTAAGTACGGTTGCTCATTCAGCAAAGCTCTGATGCTGACAGGATGGCAGATTACGAATTACGAGATGGGGATTGTGTTCCCAATTAAGACGAGTAAGGACGTTGATCGCGTCGCAGCTTGGGAGCGTCCCCCTTGCAAGTATGAGTCGGGTAAGGACGTGCCATGGGTTAGTCGTCCCGTGCCTCTAATGCTGCTCCCGCTAATTCCATCATACGTGTCGTAAGATGCAAGACGAATCATCGATCCTGGCTGACTAGTCCATCCATTTCTGTTTTCCGCGGTTTGGATACTGTTTCATTTCCTTGTTCGCTAGATCAGAATCAAACTCATCGCATTTACGGCGCCCATGTTCTACCGTGATACGACGAGACAGGTTTATTATCAAGCACGTCGGCTCAACATGCTCCCCTGCCACTCTCATGCCTGTCGCCGAAATTGACTGGATGAAACGCTATCCCACCTCTAATGCATCCGACGTTCGCAAGTTCGTAGTAAGTAATTCCAGTCTCCAGGCCGCGGCTGCGTGGAAGGAAAGTTCGTGTGGTGTGCTTTGAGCGCTTTCGCCGGTTAAAACGTCATGGACAGAGCTTGTTACTGTCAGCTTTTACTTGCCTAAGGACAGTCCTCGCTCCTTTATCTTTCTGTGCTTCCCTGGCGGTGGACATACAATCAATCTCGGATTGAGGGCACCGGTGCCGCCTGACAGGTACTCGAGCTAATGATAAATGGGGTTAGCTGCATCGCCTTCGTGATGGGTAGTTATATCGGTCTGGTACTACATAGACGCCGGTTTAATGTCTATCTGCAATGAAGGTAACTTTACGTTGGGTCATAAGTTTCTACCCACGTCTAATATCTCTCACCATTGCGCAGTGCCACGAAACTCAGGTGCAAATGGATGAGGTGTGGCTGTGGCTGTTGCTAGTAGTATACTGACAGGACCATTAATATATTCCTGCACTGATGCCACCGCCGTTAACGTTGATGGGCTGTCCGCAGGTTGCTTCGACTGCTGGACCCTGTTGGATCGAGCTACGATCCGTATGATGGGCGCGTAGATTTTTGATATTTCCGGATTTGCAGTCAGTGACGTTCCCTCCCAAGCATGGCTTTATAAGAGTCTTGAGTTGTAACGTCCTTGGTGGCTCTCTCACAGGCTGCACCAGCGCGTGCCAACCGCGAGGAAGTCATGGCGCTTTCGCTGCAGAAGGTATGCCATCTGGTCATCACTGCTGGTGTAAAAGTGACATGTGCATTGTAGGAAGAAGTGCTGTGGCTCTGGGTATGTTTATAGGTGTCTCATGTCCTATTGTTGTCTGAATATCTCAGCTTTCCAGCGTAACTTATGGTGAGCGTCGATGCTTTCCCATGAAAGGACCATTAGGCTCAAGAGGTCGCCTAGGATTCTACACGGCGGTCTTCGTGATTTGCGTGTATATCCTGTTGTCCCAACGGGCTAAAGATTCAATAAACAAAAATCTGCTAGTCGTGATAGTATTGTTGTATATATCATCCACTCATCCCCAAGATTTCAGTCCGTATTCTCTTTACGGCCGGAACCAAGCAAATTCGCATATTGAGAGCGCAGGCTTAGAGAAGCAATCCGTAGGTATTCAGGCAGGATAGGCTTCTCTGCGCTGCCCTCCCCCCCCC